TAAGATAAAAATTGTCATTTCATCATTATTCTCTTTCTACAAAATTAACTTATTAAAATATATAATATCAACATTTATATATAAAGAGATCTTTTCTTTTTTATCCTTCATAGGATTGATATATTTTATCACTCTCCTGAAACGTTTGATGTGACACATTAACGTAATTGAACAAACAATAATTTCTTGTGTCAAATAAAACTCAGGCCACCTACAACAAATGGTAAAAGTAGAGTGTAGACGGAATAGTCTTCCCCCAAAAAACAAAAAAAAATTCATAAAGGTTGCTCTGGATCTCTATCAATAAAAGTTGTTAAAAAGCAAAATAATCGAGGAAAAAAAGATCTCTTTAATAAAGTTCTGCAGGGCACTAGTATGACAAAAGTGGCCAACAATTATGCTGATCAGTGACATGAACAAACTATACTTCTATTGTTGGTTAGAGTGATGATTGCTCAAATGGCACCAAAGAAAATTACAGAGGAAAAACCTTTTCTTTGTGCGCTGCTACGTGTTCCTATTAGCACCCCTTATTAAACCGCACGTTTTACTCTTGCAAAGCCAAAACATTTTAAGTTCCCCCTTATATTTCATACCCATGTGACACAAGTGAATCGTTCTGCACAGAATTCTACTTTAGTCAACACAAATTTCAATTTCGGCTTTCTTAAATTGTCAGTCCACAGATATCCATAGAATATGCCATATTAACAAAATATTCTGCTGAAAAGCTTGGTTTATTATAAATGAGTCAGATGAATTGACATAATTCAGCCAATTTTGCTTAATTATTAAGTATTAAGCAGCCTATTATTGATTGGCATGGTTATTGGTTACGTGCAGAGCCACATAGCCAGCCAGTGATGACCTTGGTGCTCAACCGGTAAATTTTCGGGTTCCCAGAGGACTCTATCGCATTCCCGTCTCCTGCTTTTGCGTCCACATACATTTTCCTCTCCTTCCAATACATTTCTGTCTTTGTACGTTCATCTGTTTCGCAGGACAGCATCATGCCAGCCCAACCTGTCTTCTAATTGTAAATGAATTTCCAGACACACCCTTCATTAGATTATGCTAAATTAATCACATGTCACTGTCAACTGATGACATTTTTGTCATTGTACCCTGCTAACCCCCCCATCTATTTAAAAAGACATGTCCAAAGCGTAATAATGCACAAAGAGCCAACAAATTATAATACTTCCTCTAACCGGAAAAGTCTCGTCTTCCAATATGTCACCGGCCGCCGGAGTAAATGCACCACTGCTTCCAGACAGCAAGCCGCCATCAAAGCATGCGTCGGTATCAGGCGCTGTGTTTAATGTATCCACGAGCATTATTGGTGCTGGAATTATGTCAATTCCGGCAACACTCAAGGTGTTAGGTGTAGTTCCAGCGTTTCTGTTGATTGTGGTTATAGCTTGGCTAGCAGATAGATCAGTTGAATTTTTGATGAGGTATACACATGCCGGGGACTCGACTACATATGCTGGTGTCATGAGGGAGTCCTTTGGGAGGGTGGGATCAGTCCTGGTGCAAATATGTGTCATGATCACCAATCTTGGATGCTTGATCATTTATTTGATTATTATAGGTACGCACTGGATTTTATTGATAATACTTAACTGATAGTACTTCAGGATCAAATTATGGTTTTGAAGCTTGCTAGCGGCAAAAATATAATTTGCAGCGCCTGCAAAAGACTTCCACACCTTTAAACAATAATAAAATTATTTGCTAAACTAGTTCAAACATGCGTTGACAACATGTACCAACCATTTTGAGGTCTGCAAGTGTCCTGAGTTTTGATTGGTTACAGTTACCTAAGATGCTTAATTTTTACTTCCTCTGTCTTATACTCTTACTGGACTAGATTTCCAATGAACTATCGACACTTATAAATGGTCAACATCTGCGGGAGAATCTGGATGTCTTCTTGAAAATGGATGCTCGTGAGTCCTGGCATTTGAAATAGCTACTTAGGAGTCCCCTTTCACTTCCTTTAAGCATTATGGTTTCTTTAGCACTTAATTTTTATATTTTTGCACAGGTTTATTTGCGGTATTGAGTAGTGACATCCTTGCTATTTAGTTTACTGCTTATTATTGGTTAAAACAAGAACTGATTTAACTCCTCATTTAACTGAAAGGCTATGTAAAAGAAAACACAAAAAGTTGCCATCATAAGCACAGCACTAAATGGATCTTCTCTCCTTGATAGAGGCTAGCTTCATGCTTTCCATATAATGTGTAGTTTTCCTATTATATGTTCTGATCTCGAGAACTTTTTTCTCAGGGGATGTTCTATCAGGAAACCAACCTGAAGGAGCAGTTCACTTTGGTGTTTTGCAACAATGGTTTGGCATTCACTGGTGGAACTCGCGTCCCTTCGCACTCCTCTTCACCCTTGTCTTCATTCTGCTTCCATTAGTTTTGTTAAAGCGCGTGGGTCAGTATGCTCCAAAAGTTATTTTAATGATCTCTTTGTACTCTTTCTAGCAGCCAAATAAAGCACAGAGAAGGCAAAACTAAAAATTGACTTTCACTTTGCTGCTCCAAAGAACTATGGTTTACTTTGCTTAACTTGTCAAATTGGACATAATTTGCAGAATCATTGAGGTTCAGTTCTGCAATATCAGTTTTTCTTGCTGTGGTGTTTGTTGCCATAAGCTCAGTGCTGGCAATTTTGACACTCTTGGAAGGGAAAACAAAAAGCCTGAGACTGCTGCCCCTATTGGACAATAACACCTCCTTCTTTGACCTCTTCACTGCTGTCCCAGTTATTGTTACAGCTTTTACATTTCATTTCAATGGTGAGAGCACTTTGGCTTTCTTATATATAAGTAGTTGTACGGGAGTTAATTTTGTGACATATGCTAAAGTAAGCAATTCTTGTCCCAAATTTTCTCATTCATGCTTTTACTGAATGATTGCAGTTCATCCTATTGGTTTTGAGATGGGTAAACCTTCTGATATGATATCAGCAGTACGAATTTCGTTGGTTTTATGTGCTGCCATATACTTCACTATAGGAGTCTTTGGATACCTTCTGTTTGGTGATTCAATCATGCCGGATATACTTGTCAATTTTGACCAAAATTCTGGTTCATCAGTTGGCTCTTTGCTCAATGACATAGTTCGGTTGAGCTATGCATTGCACCTGATGCTGGTGTTTCCTCTCTTAAACTTTTCTTTAAGGTCCAACATTTTTGAATTCCTTTTTCCAAATAAAACTCTTCTGGCAAAGGATAACACCAGATTTGTGTCCCTCACACTTATCCTTTTAGCCTTCAGTTACTTGGCAGCAATAGCCATCCCTAACATATGGTACTTCTTTCAATTCGTCGGATCAACCTCTGCAGTCTGCCTTGCTTTCATCTTTCCTGGCGCTATTGCTCTTAGGTATTCTCTCTACCTGAGCATTTGCATGCATAAAGCCTCAGCAATCTGTTTACATTTTTTATTTTAAATTTATTATTTCCTTACGTTTACAGGGATGCTTGTAGCATATCAACGGGGAGGGAAAGGATTTTGGCAGCAGTCATGATTATTCTGGCTGTAGTAACAAGCACAATCGCCATTTCTACCAACATATACAGCTTTTTTACAGGAAATGAGTCATAACTTGTTTCCTTAATTTTTTTTTTTGAAGATTTTTGTATCGTAGGTAATTACCAATGCTACAGTGAAGGCATAATACACTCTTGGTTAAACTGTAACCCTGAAAGCCTCTTTTGTATCATTGCATAAGCTTGCTTATCCATGATAAGCTGTAATTAACCTGTACAAAACATGATATTATTAGTACTGGGATGGATTATACTATTGAGATGTTAATCTTTTCTAACACTTTTAGTTCATTAAAAAACTAAATAAAAGGTAATTACCGCAGCAATAACAGTATCCCCTTAGTGAACTCTGGAGGACAGTGAGAGATAAGAACCAACAATCTAGAAATTACTGATATCTTCAATGATGTTACTTGCAAAGAACACATCAAGATTTGTTTTCATTTTTGTCTTTACTTTCACCTCTATGAAGTATGAACCGTCCATTGTTGACGGATGATTGACTTCTAAAACATCATCAGGTCAAAGTTTTTGTAGAACTAAATTAAGATTCTTGTCAATTCAGGTTATTCTTCAGCTGCTTTGTATGAAATAGAGGAAGAGAAAACTCGTACCTTTTCTCGCATTGTAAGATATGAAAACTGGTGCTTTGGTTACCTTCTTTTTGGCGATTCAATCATGCCTGATATACTGTCAACTTTGACCAAAATTTTGGTTCGGCACTTGGTTCTGTACTCAATGACATAGTTCGCTTAAGCTATGCTTTTCACCTCATGCTGGTTTTTATTAAGGGACAACATTGATGAATTCCTTTTTCCAAATAGGCCTATTGCGGTGGAAAAAGAAAACACCAGATTTATTTCCCTCAATCTCGTCCTGCTAGCCAAATGTTACTTGGCAGCATTAGCCATCCATGGTATTTCTTTGAATTCATGGGATCAACCTCTGCAGTCAAGTCTTGTCTTCATCTTCCCTGCTGCTATTTCTCTTAGCTACACGAACTCTGATGCATCTTGTCTATAGCTTAAAGACATTTCTGCTAAGTCCGTTTCTTTTTCCTTTTCAATTACAGGGATGTTCATAGCATACCGAGAGCAGGTGATAAAGTCAAGTCTGAAGTAATGATAATTTTGGCTGCTGTAACAAGCACCATAGCCATTTTCACTTTCTTCCTGACCTTTTAGAGGTGCTTGTATTCTAGTGTTCTTTTCTCTTTTCTCTTTTGTTTCATTGATTTTAATCAAGTCCCCACAAATCAACAATGGCCTTTCTTCTCCCCCCAGTATGTCAGCAACAAACATATCACATGGTGATAAATGAATTCTGATGGGTAATGTTTTACTTTGAAAATAGACTTGCAAGAAAGGGATACCATACGATTTTTTTGTATCTTTTCCTATTAAGAATATTTTTCATTCAATACAAAACACTGCTTGTGCATTGTGATGTCTTTTCTGAGAATTTAGCTCATTCTATTAAAAAATTAACAATAAAGTAAAGCTTTGTGACAAAATTCCGACTTTAGAATGATCATTAAATTATCCTGCAGGTTTATTGCATCACATAACACTTTCTTTGGTAAAGAAAATAAGGGTAACTAGACAATAGCTACGGAAAACAACTATATTTGATTTTAACAATAAAAAACACATGAAAGCAATCCTATAGTGCAGATGGATCTGGCTTGGTCCACATTAATGGCATTTTTCTCAAACTCTAAGGGCATCAGGTGAAAAGTCTTCTGATTTCTCTCACCAAAAAATTGAAACAGTCAAGATCCTCGGAAGCAAAACCTCTCTATTTCCTGTACACAGGCAAATCCACAAGTCATTATCAATTGTGCAAGGAAAATGATAAATTTATCTAACTGAATCCTCTATAGTTTTCCAAGTAAACTTGGATATCTTTGTTATTGTCCTTCCAACTGCCAGTTTAATAAGAAATCGTTATGGAATCAAACCAATTTTCCCTGATTGTAAGAGATGCATGGGCAGTTGAGCAATCAGTATAATTGAGATTCTAATAAAATGCCATGTCATATTGGTTTCGTGTTTCAGTCAAACAAAAACTAAACATTACAAACTCAACTGACCTTCCAGTCTTGGCTGACGGAGGAATTAGGCCTCTCTTTTCTAAGCTTTTAAATCTATCTCTTGCAAGCGTAGCACAACCCTTCATGCAAATCCAAAGTACAGGGAGACAGTTAATTTTTATTATCTAAAAATAAACTTTGAAATTAAATAGGATATTGAGAAAAATGTACCTTAAGCTTGCGGAGAGATCCAGTAAGTTCTTCAGATAACAAGACTTGGGGAGGAGCAGGTTGGAACCTGAAATTATGAAGAATAGAGATCAATCAGACGTCTGTTTCAAAATGTTGACAAAGTGGAGCATTATCTGACAGATCACGCAACACGAGAGGCGAAACAGAACATCGAGTGGCAAATTACTTCAAGACATTATAAAAGAATTTAATTTAGATATCAAATAAGTTGTGAAATTTGGCCATTGCCATTAACTATGCCCATAATCAATTGAAAAATGGATGATCAGTGAGAACTTCTCATAAAAAAGCTTGCATACTTGTATTTTCCCAAGCGAGGTGGACAAGCCTTTAATCTTTCTTGCTTAGCTATGACCCTCCGGAGATGTTTCTTTTGCTTCTCCTCATCCTCTTTGGCTATTTCTTGTAGGATATCTGGCAAGCTGCATCCAGAAGAACCAACAGATAATAAGAATATAGTCCTCAATAAAATAGATGATAATTGAGACAATGATAAATATACGTGTCAATGTCTTCAGAAAGCTCCTTTGCCCTTTTAGCTTCTGCTTCTTTTCTTTGCAGTTCTTTCCTCCTAGCTCTCTTATTCAACTCAACTCGAGTCACCCTCCTTGTTTTGGAAGGCCTGTGGCATGATAGAAGCTGTATTAATGCATAGATCAAGAGTTCATGATAACAGAAAAAAAAATGAACTTTCATTCTACAAGCTCTTAGGAAAACCCACATACAAAAGCTGGTTTGAGATTATAGCATTTTGAGTCTCATTTTTTTTGTCAAAAGAACATATTCAAGGCTTAATTATGATCTTCAGTATGTTTATCAGGAAAGGTATCTCAGAAGCCAAAATTAGTGTTTGAACCTATGAAATCAAGTTTAATTTGTCTACACAGTACATTCAAACAAACTAGCTTCCCATATAACCCTCAGAAGCCAATATTTCCCCAAAAGCAAAACAATATAGTAACGAAATAGATAAGAAATTTGATAATAGTAACGTACATGATGTTACAAATAACTAACCTTTTCTCAGTTAACGTATCCTCCTTCTCACTCAAATTCTCCTCATTCATTTCATCATCGCTTCCATCATCTGCCTCCATAAAGTATTTCTAACGAAAAAGATGGTTTTGTCAAATTCTAATACTGAATTTTAAACTAAATAAATAAGAATTCGTAACCATAATTTAGATGTGTCTAACATTGCAAGTATGAACAATAAATTATAGATGAATAGAACAATAGGCACTCACATCGTCTTCATCAATCACTTCTCCCATAACAGTTAATGGAACTGGCTGAGGTCCCAACTCATTCTTGTAGACCTTTTGCATTTCTTCTGCAACAGCTTGAGCTAAGGAATCCTGGATTGAGATTAAAGAAAAAAAAACAATGTCACTTCATAAAGAGTAAAATAAAGAATGACACAGATAAAGACAATATACACAATTATATGTTTCAAAATTCACCTGATGACTTTCAAATGAGGGATTGTATGAGCACCCTGGAGGCTCAACTTCCACTGCAGGAATAATCGACTGTTTACAGGCCTGTCTAGCTTTGCCACTCTGTTGCCCTGAAAGAGCATAAAGAGAAACACATTTAATATGCAATCCCAAAATAAAAAGCCCATGGAAAAGAAAACTCAACAGTTTAAATTTTTAAAGGATGATACCTTGATTTCCCCATAAGGGAACCATGCCAGAATCAGGGGTCGAATCATCCTACATGAAGACATATCAAAATCAATTTTTTTATAAGAAAGCAGTCCAATTTATTAAAAAAAATATAACAAAGTTTAGCTTTACTTAAACAACTTTGCATCTCACCTTGGGAACATCTTGAACTACAACATCTTTAGCTTTCAAAGCCTCCTTCTTTTTCTTCTTAGAATCCTTCTGCTTCGAAGATGGCACTGCTTCAACAAAAGGGTTCTTCTTCAGCACACTATCAACTCGCAATACCTTTTCTCTTTTCTTTTCAATCTTTCTCTTCACAGAAAGATCTGGTAAAACACAAAACACCCTTGTCAGCAAACTAAATCAAAATTAAGAAAAAAAAGAGGTACAACAAAGTGGGGCTAAAGAGTAAAATGAAGACCTTTGGATTTGTCGATGAAGAAGAGGGATTCAGTAGGAACAGAAGCAAGAGAACCCCCTGAAAGGGCATCCTTGGTGGATTTCTCGAAGTAATCATGGATGTCTTCCATGCTTATGTTGGCTCTCCATGCTTTTTTCCCTTTTCTTGAGGTTTTTACTTTCTTCCCCATCTCTTTGTTCTCTCTTTTTGCTGTTTCGCGGCTGTCGAGTGTCCGAGGAAGAAGGCAGACAAGAAAGAGGGTTTTGTTGGAGAGGGTGTTTTGTCTTTAAAACGACGTCGATTGGTTACCCAATTAATGTTATCTTTCAATCGGGCTTAAAAAATGAATGTAAGACCAGCCCATTAAAGCCCAACTTTTAGCCCAATCGCTAGAAGATTCTAATGTCGTCGTTTGAAATATCTTTAGTTCCCAAAATTATGAGTAAGAAAAAAAAAAGAAAAAATCGAAAATCTATTAGAGTGTTGGTTTTATTCGGTTCTAATTTGATTTTTTTATTCGATTTGAATTAAGTTCAGATATTAAATATATATTTAAGTTTAGATCGAATTTTATGAAAAATTGAATTGAATTATATAGTTTTATTAGTTTTATATTTTTTAAAATTTTTATAAAATAAAAATAATTATTTTATATATAAATTTATTTAAATATATTAAAATTTTAATTAAAATAATATATATAAAAAATTAAAATTTGAAAACTGATTAACCGAATCAAATCTGTAAGATTCATTTAAATCAGATCAATTTAAAAAAAAATAAATTTAAATTTGAATCAAATTTTAAAGTTTTATAATATTATACATTATTTAAAAAAATTGAATCAAATCTGATATAATTTAAACTATTATCATCTCTACCCCAAACAGATAATGATGATGAGTATGCAAATGCAAGGAACAAGATCCTAAGGTTTTGCTGACAACATCTCAGGATCCAAGTGCTGCTCTTGTACAGTTTGTTAAGGTTGGTCTGTACATTTTGGTGATAAATAACATTGTTTCCCCAATATTCTGCACGCAAATCTGACCCCCAACTCTAATTCATATGGCACGTTTCTTGCAGGAATTGAAGTTTGTCTTTCCTAATGCAGAGCGAATGAATAGTGTTACCCAGGTTGCTGCATGAATAAGTAAGGAACCACTGAACTTCATCATGCATACTTTACAACTTCTGGTCAATTGCTCCTCAAAAGACAACTCACTTCATTGGACCAAGGACGTCTTATGTGAAGATTAGTCGTCAAATGTCACTGGATCTCCTTCTACTTACATATTTAATTATTGTTTTAAATTTAGATACACACCCGTTAGATTGCTTTGCCTCACGCTTCGATGTTATGAAATGTTCATTCTCACTCGTTGATACATTGCAAACATACGGGCATCATATTTATGAGAAGCCTGGAGACCCTAAATCAGCTGGCTGAAGGAGAAATTGCGGCTTTATCAGGTGGCCATCATTCCATTTCAGTAAACTATTAGACGAAGCTATTATCAGGTTCCTCAAATCATTGGTTGCACTATATTTGCAGTTCCTTTTTTTTTTTTTTTTTTCATTTTTTGCTTTGCATATGTTGCAGGTAAAATTAGGAACAATGGGCCAGAGTGAGGCCCAGATTTAATGGGTTAACACAACCTTATATGAACACAACCTAGAAACGCAACTTCATTGGGATTAACCCAGACGACAAAAGCAAGAGAAATAAGCATTAAGCTTTGTAGCTTGTGATTTATCACATTCCTAGGATTTTAGTCCATTAACAATTTCATGCCAAAATTTATTTACAGAAACAGTTATGTTATGAAGGATTACAGAAAAAGTTTGCCCAGTTGGAGACTGAAACCTCTTTATAATCCAAAGGAGATTATTGGTGTTGAGTTGTTTTGATGAGGGTAGAAATTTGAATTCGCAAGGTGAGAAGTCAGTTAACAGTAAAGATCCAAGGTTTTTCCAAAAATTTTGCTTCGACGTTTAAATTAGTGTTGAGAAAAGAAGAGGAGAGAAAACTTGAAAGTAGATGTATATGAAAAAATTGAAGTAATAGTACCTAAAAGTAGAGTTAGGGTTGATGTTGCTGGCCGACTTGAACTTATAGTCAATAACTCAATAGAGAGGTGATAAGTTAGCATCCAAAGTATAATTTAGTGACTTAGATCAATTCAACATGTCAGCTTCGATCAAAATGACCAAACTATCTCCAGTATAATTGATGATTCATACTCTGAGGCAAAATGTCTCTATCGTATACATATGTATATGATATGTAATGTTTACAACTTCGCTTTACTCAATTCTTCCAGGTCTAGTTTCCCATAGACTACCAACTCTCTTTTCTATTATTTTTTGGCAAAAGACAAATTCCGATGGCACAAATTAAAAAGAATGTTGTTAAAATTGGAATGAAGAGAAATGACAGCAATAATTTGTAGTACTATAAATTAAGAGGTTTTCTTTAAATTGATAGCACAAGTTTTGAGATGAAAAATTTTGGTGCCGCACCAACTAAGCTGTTGACAAGCAACCGCCACATTTACCAGATCAGCAGGCCAACCGGCCCTGACTCAAGGTTTTGGAGGAAAAAAAGGTGGCATTGAAACCTACAATTTGACAACTTCACAATAACCATAAAAAGCAAAGCTGACAGAGGTGGCAAATACAAGAACCAGAAGGCACATTAAAGCCACAAAATCCGATAGCCCTGAAAATCAAGGGGCTTGCATGACTTTTAACCTGGTTTTCCCTCTTCCTGGTAGTCTAATAAATGCAGCCGACCCAAACAGGTGGACAGTGAACTGCACTACTTACTAACTTCAACCGTTTTGTTTCCATGCTTTCAATATAAACAGTGGTTTAGCTTCAGCATCCTTTTTCTCGTATAGAGCCTAAAAAAGCAGCAAAGCCATCTAGTTTCTTTCAGAGAAAATTTTCAGTTGGTTAAAGATAAATCTTGGTTTTCTTTCCATGGCTTCTCTTGTTCTTTTATTGTCTGAACTTCTTCGCCACCATGAACCAAACTTTGCTTTTGTAACACCTCCTACTTCTTGAGGTGCTTCAATGTCTTTAGCTGCCAAGAAACCATTGAAAAATGATGCCAACAAGTATGAGTCAGAGATTGTGAAGGAAGATCCACAAGAGCTAAGGGTTTCTGTTGACTTGTCTGGCCTTAGTGTCATGATCTGATGCATGCAAACCAGAATTCTATCCCCAAACATGTTCTTCTGTCATCTCTGATTCATGTTTTCTCTGTGATTTCAACCTCAAACAAGGCATTTTTTCCATGATTTCTCCATGCCTTCTTGTAACACCACAGATCCATGATATTTATTGCAGTTTAAAAGTGTAGTTTGAGACTCCCACTTAGGTTTTCAATTAATTTATTTAATCTTTTAATTCTCTTGTATAAAATGATTGTTATTGGATAGCCATTTAATTGTTTCCTGTAACTTGAATTGCCCTATATCTGTATCTTGTTCTTCAAACATATAAGAAAAAAAAATTTAACGCTATCTACGTGGTGAATGAGCCAAGGTGATTCACTTTAACTATTTATTCGAGACCTGACTGCAGATGGGAAATGCATTTTTATTTTTTAACTACTAGATGTAACTGAAAAAATAACCAATGGGAATGTTCAAAATCGCAATAAGCTTCAATTCTCATGATTGTAGAATTACAAGATGTCTCCATCATGTTCTCTTAAACTTCTCAAAATTCAAACTGCTCAAAAAGCTATTTCAGACATGATTTGTTGGTTTTAGTTTGGTGGTGGAAGGACTGTTAGAACTGGGGAAATTCTTGAAACAGAAGAAGATAGAAGCATAGAGCTGCTAAAAGCGAGTGCAAAAGGCAATTGCTGCCTACAAGAAGAAATTTGTATTAAATGTTGACCCAAAGCTAAGATCTGAATGTGACATTGTATTCAAATTTAAATTCTTGCTTCTTTCAAGTTATTATCAAACCAAAATAATTTATCTCAACAAAATTCATACAATGTGATACTTGCATTTTTTTCTTCTATTGCATTTTTTTCTGAGTCACAAATTAGTTATTGACAATCGACTGTATTCATCCATAGACAATAGTATCTCAGGATCAGTCATGATGTTACGAGAAGAATTTTGATATGTACCCCGTTGAAAATTAAAAAAAAAAAAAAAAACATCATACAAAGTAAGTCGGTGATAACTTTTTACACTAAGTTTTCATTCTCAATTTCTGAAGCAAGCCAGTTGGTTCTTGATTTTAGTCCAAATTGAAATTTTTGTTTGGGACATGAGCAGAAAACTGCTTAGGAGGTTTTACAAAATAAATAATGGACATATTTCTTGAAGAATTCATGAAGATTTGAAAATAATGAGAAATTATCTGAAATTTCATTTTCCTCGTAATATAAAACCTTTTGTATTTCCTCAAATCTATGAATGTGTTTCAGGGGTCATAGTCTAGGACTCTTGGCTACATTTGCCCATGGATATCTTAAAATAAAGCAATGGTGTTGACAGTTTAAAGTCTTAATTAAAGCTCCTTTTGTACTGTCGGTGACTCAAGGTAAGGAATTAGTATACTTTTGATAAATGGAAAATCAAAACCACCATTTGATCACTTTGAAGACAAAAAATGGGAGAAAAAAAATTTACGTTTAGTTTTTGTAGTTGTAAAAGCAGCTTGGTACTGAGAATTCAAGGTTTTTTTTTTTTTTTCGTTTTTACTTTTTCACATTCAAACATTCCTGGTTAAGCTGCACCTTACATTCCCAACATTTTCCCTCATACCTTTCCTAGCCATTCTGCTAGAGCAGCTAACAGGAAGAAAAAGAGAGAGAGAGAGAGAGAGAGAAACTTGGAATGTGTTCCTGACAGCACTAGAAATACAAAAACCCAAGTCCTATGATATCTTTTTGTTAGCTACCAGCAGCTGAATGCAGCAAGCAAGTGGTATTTTTGCTGTCATATGTTTTATTTTATTTTATTATGTCACTTCTGCCATGTTTTGGTAGGATTAGTTAGAATGGATGTTAAACTTGTGTTGATCCACAATCTCGGGCAGACAATTGGCAGTATAGTTGTTGAAAGTTGTTGAAAGTAGTTGAAGTTTGGTTTTGTATCATGTTTAATATTGCAAAGAAAGTGCAGCTACTGTATGCTGCTTTCTCTGCTAAAAACAAGACACTTAACTTCATCCTTTTCTCTCTATTCTTCTTTGAACATAGCCTACACTTTTCCAGAAATCCTTATGGAAACAAACCAATAGCCTTACAATAAAGCAGTCAACCATCCCTATTTTCCCTTACTCTGTTGGCACGTTCGCCTCCCTGAAAACAACCTGTAATCTTTTCTGGGGTCCGTGCTCTAGACTGCTGATTAAATTTATCAAAAGTGTCACATAGAAAATTTTCTTTGATCATCCTCGATTTCTTATGTATGAAACAAAAACCAGATTCCTAATAATCTTTAGAATTGCCTCAACCTAAGACAACTGTATCAAAAGGTGGCACTGTATTTGTAAAAGCTTCTCAGTGCCTTTCTTTTCTTTTAGGTAAAGCAACTTGGATATGTGGCTCTTTATTCTAATTGGTCAGTTAATCCCTTTTCATCATGGTTTTTGGCCATATGATAGAAGTAAAACAAAGTCTACTATACATGGTTTATACACCAATCTGATAACAATTTCCAGGTAGGTGTAACCCTTAATCTTTTCTTGAAGTGAAAGCCTAAGAACAAAGCCAGAAATCAAATACTTCTTTTAATTCAGGTGATATGTAGTAAAGCCCCCATCTGAAGGATTAAGGGTTTCGTACAAGTTAGATAACGGAATTGATTTTTCCGAGAAACATCAACATTTGGACATATATCATCACTGTTTCTAAATAAACTGAGTAGATACCAGCATTAGGAAATTTGATTTGGTTTGATATGCTTGTTAACAGTATTATTTTGGGTTTTCAATTTATTGCCTGCTATGCATTTTGAGCCTTGGAAAGTTCTTCATTCTCCTTTTACTTTACAAAATATTGTTTCTGGTTTTTTGATACGATATCTCCTTTTACTTTTTATAATAAAGGTGCTTTAATGACTCTAGTCTCTATATGATCACCTTATTACATACTTCTTTTGTCAATGGTTAGGTTTTTGATCATCACATATGATTGATTACTTATTAGATGCCATTTTGGAATCATCTATTATGGTACTGACATACATTTACAATCAATGATAGATCAAGTTAATCAGATCAGTAAGTCTAAGCTACGTATAGGATTGCAACTATGCAAGTAAGAAACTTTCAGTTATTCATTCCATCCTTCATTTCATCTAATTAATATAAAATTATGACGCATTTGTTGCCTAATAATTTTGGCTGTTGATATATGGAACAAGAAAACATGGGATTTACCAGGGAAGAAGTGGGCAGCAGAATATGTGTATCATGTAGCAGACAAAAAAAGAATGGGGGGAGCTGTCTTGTTCTTGTTACTTGGGTCAAGTGGAATCATGTTAACCTATAGTCTTCCATTATCATAATTTAATGCGTGCAGAAGAAGCACACAGGCTGATTCACTCACATGCTGCTAAAAAATTCTGGAATCTCTCTCTCCATAATGAAAATTTGTCGTGATCCTGACTGGTGCCACAAAGGCTAGTTAGCTCCCTCATGAGAGAAAGAAAGATTAAAGGTTGCAGGAGAGTCCCTTGTTTCTTTCTCTTTTAATAGAAAAAGTGGAATTAAGATCATTACAAGAATTGAAGAATCGAAGTTACAAAAGAAAATTTTCAATGGCATAAACTGAAATGACCAGAGCCTAAAATATTTATTCACTAATTATATTCATTTGTAAGTAAAATAATAATAATAATAATAATAATGCCACTTGCATATTCAATAGGTGGCAATTTCTTCCTTATAAAGGTTGTTCCTAGGCAATTTCTTTCTTAGCCTTTGATAAACAAGTGATAAAACGTGCCTGCAACATTGATATTCATTTGAAATTAGGAAAATCATTTCCATCTTATCAGAAACAGGAATTATATAACAATTTGTCAATAATTAGTAGATATTAAATTGACAAAAATAGCCACTTATTCAACAAAATTAGTAAATCACTGTTAAAAAATTTTGGATTTAATTGCAAGTGTTAGTGTGAGATGAGTTGGTGACTAAATTTTATAAAAGTATGAGAAATGATCAAACAAAAATTTTATGTTTTTTTCGACAAATACAATAACTTTTGCCACTCGATTATGCCAATTCAAATAGGTATACATGTAAATATGATAATTTTAAATGCGATACGAAAGATATATTATAAAAATAATATAAACAAAAAATATGAAAATAATATAATTTAAAATTTTAACAAAATTCATAAATAAATTTAATAAAATTAAAAATATATATTTTATATTTTTGTGATGATATAAATTATAAGACGTAATTTTTATATAAAATATAATACAAACATATAAATTTTTAATATTTTATATAATATTAATACACGAATTATCGGCTCTTCTTTCTCATTTATCTTTTGGGCATTCAAACTTCTCTTTTTTATTTGAGAGGAGCGTCTGTGGCTCTACCTGAATGGAGCTGAGGTCCTTAGTTGGCCCCACAAGTAGCCCTTTTCACGGACCATTGGCAATGTTCCTTTGCCTAAATGGTCCATGACCTTTTGTCTTTCTCTAAAGTACCACCGCCCAACCCCTAGCGGTGGAGGCCGGAGGGTTCCTAGTCAAAAGTTGCTTCCTAATCTTTTTTTTATCCTTTTAATAATCATTGATTTTGCTTCCTAATCTAAAACCCTAATGATCTCCAGTTGATGATAGAAGTGCTTTTGTATTTTCATCTAAACTGGTCTCATTAATGTCAAAATTGGCATTTAGCATTGCTGCATGTCAATCATGCATCAAGGAACAACACCATACATCTCCAAAAAAATTAATTGAAGGGTTTTTTAATGTCATTTCAGGAAAAAAAAAAATAAAGAGAAAGTAAAAAGAGTTCGTATGGGATACCTAATTACTGCTTAATTTAGAAAAATGATAGTAAATTCCGATGTCTTATAAGCGATAATAATTCCAGTGAGGAAATGGCGTAAACCTGTTAGTGCAAGTCAGCATCAAACTCTTATCTAAGCCTTATCCAAATTTGATCTGCAAGGAAGTTAAACAAGAGGCCATCCACGGGGAAAAAAAAATAAACTAAACCACAAGGAATCTTATAGTGTGTACCTGTTTGGTTTTCAAGAACTTCCTTTTCCTTCCGCTGTGATTGTCATCCCAACACAACTTCTTTTCTTCCACAGCTCAATTCCCCAATATCCATGCTTCAGGTTTTCCTTTGAGGATGGTTCAAAGAAAGGTGCCCAGCAAGCTTGGTATCCAAGCTGATCATATTAATTCAGAGAAGCGGTTGGGATGCCTAAAACCATCATCTTGTCAGCACCAGGATGGCAAGAATAAAGGAACTGACTTGAAGAAAAAAATGAAAAAGTCAAGATCAATTAAGCTATCAGATATTGAGAGCCTACGATCATCACCTTCGAGGAAAACCATTTCGCAACCTGGAAAACCACCTCCTCTCAATGTTCCAGCTGCTGCAGCAACCCCACAGAAGAAGTCTATGATCAAAGCCATCGATGGATCACCAAACTACATGAAGTCCACCAGCAGTTCAGAGGCAAAAAAGGAGGGTTCTCAGGTGAGTTTCCGGAATGCTCAAACTGGTTCAGATAGCAAGACTCTACGTAGAAGATGTTCATTTGGTTCAAAGTTTAGCTGTGGTTCTTGTAATAAACCTGCTAGAACTCTAGCAAGGACGTCTAGTTTGAAGCTGGTGTGGACTTTAACAAAATCTCCTAGCTTCAAGCCGGCTAGAACTTCAGCCAAAAAATGCTCCAGCGTTGCTCTATATACAGATATGAATGTAAAGAGAGCTACCTGTTCTTCGACTTTAAAGGATTCAAAGTTTCTCGCTTATCTTATGCTTAATCCCGGGGGAACTGAGTCTGAAGGAACTTCAATTATAAAGGTCTGCCCATATACTTACTGTTCCCTTAACGGTCATCACCACAATCCTTTGCCTCCATTGAAATGTTTCTTAAAAGCAAGGAGACGTTCATTGAAAACCCAGAGAAGCATGAAGATGGGAGCTTTGAGCCCGCGTAGACTAAAGCCTTCTGCTGATGGCACAGTGGAATTCGATAAAGAGCAGGTGGTTTTTGGTAAAGAGCCTGCAAGCAATGGAGTAGATTTGGTTAACTCTTCTATGTCTCCTTTGATGCAAGGAGGGGCCATGGATTTTTTTATTGAAATCTATGGAAAAAGCAAAGGAAATGATGTTGAAGCAACCGAAGGAAGCACACAAATGAACGCCAAGGGAGTGGATGATTCTGGATGTGGCAATGAAACAGCTCCAGCGCATGACACCGACAAGCCAGTTTCAGAAAGTTTACACGAAGGTTCACCGCACTCTGACATTGATTTTGACGTAAATCGTGAACATTGCAATGAAATTATTTCGAAATTAGATATCACAGAAAACCCTTATGAAGAGCTCAAACACAACAGCGTGGATGAAGAGTCTAGAGGAATTTTGGTTAAAGAAGAATCATCACCGAACTTTACTGATGGTGATAAGCAGGAAGTCGTTTCAAGTGTTGATGGGGACCATACTTTGTTTGAAGTTATTGCTATGGAGTGGGAGGAGCGGCAATTTTCTGCTTCAGAGCCCGGCGATGAAGCCCATTCTTCAATGGAATCTTATGATGAATCTGATTTAAACATTGGGGAATCGTCAGAAAGTCATAGGAATAACTTGCTTGACGAATTTGTGATCAGCTCAGATGAAAGTAACAGCAACATCGCTGAGATTCTGGATGACGGAGCAGAAAAAGTCTTTGAAGAAGATGTTGCATGCATTGATACATGCAGCCAGGTATCAGAAACCTTATGTTACGACCAAGTTTCCTCCCCTGAAGAGATGTTTGAGGTACTGGTAGCCATGGAAGAAGAAGAGGAAGAAGAAAACACTGAAATAGATTCGATAGAGATTGTCACAACTCCATCTTCAAGAGAGGAGTTATATGAGGAAGCAACATCAGGCAAGGGGAAAATGCTGGAGAATGGAGTTCCTGGAACAGTTAATGAGGTTTCTGAAACAGATTCTCCACTAGAAGTTCCTGAAAACAGCTGCAGCATTGATTTGAAAGATGAAGCTTTAGAATCAACCGAGCAATTTCAGCTTCACTCATTTGATAAATTGGAAAAAGATAAAACAAATGAAGATTATAATGTAATCCAGAAGCCAGGGGATTCAGAAGCAGATCAGACAGTCACCATCAGTGATTTCTGTCCAGAGAAGGAACTTTCATGTGGCGAAGCGGGGAAAGTAGCTGATGCTGAATTGTTGATTGGAATCCATGATTCATCTCATGTTTTACCTATGGCTGATGAAGATGATAATAATGAGGTAGGAGACAACCAAAACAACCAAATTTCAACTCAAGATACTGTTGATGAAAGCCTTTTTACCGAGAGTCAAGATCACTTGTCAGATGGCCAACATGATAACACACATGTTGTTGACAATCAGAGCATCCTAGAGGAAGACCAAGATGAAGCTAAGTACAAAGTCCCTACTTCCATGGACTCAGAGGAGCAGAACGGTTCAACAATGATGCATAAAACTAGTTTAGCTGACGGCTGTGAAGAAGTTGGGAAAATGGAATTGGAGGATAACTCTACTCCTGTGTTGGATGTGGCAGAAACGTTCCCTTCAGCAAGTGATAAAACTAGCCACAAGCCAAGAAGCAAGTTCTCCTTCACTAGAAGCAATGCTAAGGAAGAACCGCCTGACAACCATAACGACAGAAAGTGGACAATTAGAAGCAAAAGACATGAAGAGATCTATAAGGAACCAAGGAAATTCAACCAACGAGAGCCAAACTTCCTGTCTGTTGCTCCAGAGCTAGATGCAGAAAAGGTTGATCTCAGGCATCAGATGATGGATGACAGGAAAAATGCAGAGAAATGGATGCTCGATCATGCACTCCAACAAGCTGTCAACAAACTTGCTCCAGCTAGAAAGAGGAAGGTGGCATTACTTGTTGAAGCCTTCGAAACAGTCCTGCCAATAACTAAATGTGAAACTTATTTGAGGCATATTTCAACAGGCTTTGCCCATGGCGGACCCATTCAAGCTTGTAACTGATTGGTTTTGTTGAGGTAATTAAGGAACCCTTCCATTCCTTGTTATTGTTTAGTGTTTACTTTGTAATGTAATACTTAAGTTCCTTTCTCTACTGTAAGTTTGACAAAACATAATCCCTTCAACATCTAACAGACAAACTCCACCTTATCATTTCCCAGGATATGACCAGATGGAAATAACTTTGGCAAATTATACCTGCAATCAATCTAAGGAGTAGAAAGCATCATCACCATAGCAAGAGAAGGCCAAAATTTTTAAACTACACTTTCAATAGGGCAACTAACTAGTTGTCAACTGTTGAGAAGCACTGCAGATACAGCAACTTATAATCTGCAAAAGGAGGCAGTTTCTCCTAAATTATGTGGGTGAAGCGCGAGTGAAGGACACCTAATTCAACTATTAGAATTTGTGAAGTGTTTTAAACTGGATCATTTGGAGGTATTTTATGTTTATGTCTAATGTTATGTACTGATAATCATACAAGAATTGTCATTTAGAGGTCTATTATGTGTAATGTTATGTTGAGCTACAATTATCATGCTAGAGTATAACTGTTACTAAGAATTCACGTACAAGAGTAGGAACATGGATGTTCAGTCTTTAAAAGTGTATTCAAACATTAATAAGCAGGTTCCTTAATATAATCATTATCGCCTATATCATTCTTCTTGTGCCCAGGATTGTCAACATATTAAGAGAAAAGTAGTATAAAGTAATGTAAAATATGGATAATGATAAAAAGCAGATATTTTGGTTCTGATAAATCCAAGTGCAGGATAGCATTAGAAAAATGCAATATACAACTGGCAGCTGTCAAGCACCATATGTTAACACATGACACATTCCCAAACAAAATGCATAGACAACCCTAATCCCTAAACAGATATCAAATACTAAACAACCATTATATCTTTACATAGAATTAGAAGAAAATCTAAATTGTCAAGTACTGTGTGGAATTGCCACTATTTACCAACTACCATTGGCAGTTGAAGAATGGCCTAAGTGTAAAAATAAGATTAATAATTTGAGGGCAATATATATTTACGTATACACTTATCAACCCTTAAAACAATACCATACAATATATTTTCAACAGTTGTATAAAGCAAGTTTGTGCAGCCAACTTGGAAATGTCTGATTACCTATCGGCAGTAAAGCTATGATTGCATGGCCTTTCTTTGTGAAGGAAGCAAGCATGCTCTGTAGAGGCTTGGTATATATACATGATTATTATGTCACTATGCCTTCATCTAAAATCAGTGAATTCTCTTTTCAAAAAGAGAAAGTAGAAAAGTAGACAACTCCTGCAGCTCCATTTTTGGCCTTATTAGTTATTTCTAGTATATCATGACTTAGCTATCAGTTAACTGAGATTATATCTGAAATAATGTTGGAGAAATTTGATTACAGCTTCATTCCACACTATCAAATGATTTATTAATTAATTAGATCCTAGTTGAAGTAAGTATTGCTTGCTTCTATGGTCGGTCACCATAACAACGATGAAAACCGTTTTTGGCATTTCTTCCTCCAGAGTCATGAAAATTAACTGCTTAATTTGTAGATGGAAGGCCAAACATAAGTAATCATTTCTTCACATATGCCTCAGAAAACAAGACAAGGAGGAAAGAAAAATTAACTATATTTTCATTACCCTATAAATACCCTCTTTGGGAAGCTGACCATGCATTGCAGCTGAAATTTGAACCAAAATGGCTTCCTTTGTAACTCAAACTCTCTTCTTATTGTTCTTCACCCTCTTCTCAACTTTCTCCATTACAATTAATGGAGAGTTCTCGAGTCAATCCATTATAACATCAACAAAACGGATGGAGAAAATGACTCTTCTCCACTTCTACTTCCATGACATTGTAGATGGAAAAAACCCTACAGCCATAAAAATTATCAGGCCAGCAAACAAGTCAACTGTTTCATTTGGTACGACTTTCATGGTAGCTGATCCATTGACAGAAAAACCTGAGCCTAATTCAAAACTTGTGGGAAGAGCTCAGGGGATTTATGCTTTGGCTTCTCAACATGAAATTGGCTTGCTTATGGTCATGAATTTCGCATTCTCTGACGGAATTTACAATGGAAGCGCACTTAGCATTCTTGGCCGGAATGCAGTCCTTAATAAGGTGAGAGAAATGCCAATAGTTGGAGGCAGTGGAATTTTCCGCTTTGCTCGTGGTTATGCTTTGGCCAAGACAGTTTGGTTTAATCAGATTGGAGATGTTGTTGTGGAATATAACGTGTCTGTCGTGCATTACTGAACAATTACCATGCTCCCATGGAATTCAATTATCTTTTATTTATTTTCTTGCTTTGGTCATGATTTCTACTCGCTTTAGGGTGTTTCTTCTATTGACAAAAGGAGAGAATGTGATTTTCACTTCTATTTCGTAAGGATGCATAAGAAATCTATTGTAGATTTCCAAGCTCAGATGTTCCAACCTTCCAATCTATTGTATTATCTGATTTGTCAATTCACTTGTTTAAGTTCTTAGGTCATGTTGCAACTTTAAACCTTCAAGGAAATTTTCTGCCCATATAATTACTGAATGAAGCAGAACTTCCATCATTATTCAACATGAAATGTTATTAGACTATGAAGTGACTCAAAGAAATGAATCAGATATGTTTAAATTTTCGAAGTATATGCAGAATGAATAGTCTTTCTTATACATTGGATCTAAGAGGGCAAATAGACTAGCAAACATAGAAAGATAAACATAGGAGTCAAGGAGAAATGAGCTCCAACTTTTCATTGGAACATTATGAGATTGCAGAGAAAGAAAAGCTTAATATTCTTTACAGAGAGAAGAACAATACAAAGGAGGAAACAAGCACACACACAAAATGAGTAACAATCTTAATCATAGCGTCTAAACCCCCAGGCTGACATTGAATATAGAGGTCTTTCTTGCCAGAACAGAAGCAAACACCCATTCTCTTCTTTGATCTTATAACCGTCATAGTTATTGGTCTGCAACAACCTTCCTGCCTGCAACATGCCATGGTAGCTTAAAGGCACCCTTAGAAAGCTGGCTAACTCAAGTCTCAGAATCCATTTCTCAAGCTTTTCATGTCTCACCTTTCTCTCAAGGCCCTCACATGCTATAATATTCTTAATTTCCTCTCCGAAAAGCATCTTCTCAACCTTTTGTCGCTCTTGTGGTGCTCTTGATACTGTAGACTGTAAGCAATCAAAGAGCGCAGCATAGAAATTCAATGCTTCCATTGCCCTCTCCATTAAAGTAGGTCCATTATGGTTGGACTCCTGCTCAGTTACTACCATCAGTTTTGGTGACAGTGCCCGTAGAGCGGTTAGAAAGCTCCACAGTTTCGGTGCTGGAGCTAGGGACAGCGGAGATGATGGCGATGGTGTTGCCAAGTCAGAACTTGGGCTATACATATGGACTGGTTCTTTCTGAAGCCACTCTCCAAAAGTACGTTGGTTCATCTGCAACACTCTGTGTGATTGATTACTATTAACATTCTTAGACACGGATGGGGAGTTAATGTTCCTTCTAAGCATCTCATCATCAGTAGCCAGGAGAGAATGAAGCTCAAGGACAGAACTGACTGCAAGAGCTTCTCCGGTCTTGACACGCAAACTTTCAAGATCAAGATTCTCTAACCTGCAAACTATTGGGTTAAACTGAAATGGAATGTTCAATTTTTCAGCTTCTTCTGTCAACCGAAGGGCCATTTGCTTTAACACCTCTTTCTGTTTATGAATGCCTGTAATTCTCAGGTGGGGTGGCCCTTCTGGTCTACTACTAAATGTCTGAAAAAGATTGATCCACTGTGCAGGCTCAAAGGAATAGAGATCTATAATATGAACCATCTTCTCCCCCTCCATAGCTTCTACAATGGCCTGATTTGTGATAATGTATGCAAGCTTTAAAATGGGGCATAGCTCAAAGAACAATTTTTGAACAAGAAATTCCTCTGATACTGATGATATTTTTGTGGAATTGAGGGCTTTGTGAAGACCCGGCCATGCTTTAAGCATCCTATCAGCAAGTGCCTCAGTGAAGTAAGCGGCAATTCTTTGCATGGTATCTCCATCGGGAGAGGCAAGTTGGGATATTTGCTCAAGGTAAATATTGGCATTCTCAAGACTACCGGCAGCGACATGGTTTGCACAGGCAACAAGAAGATGGATCAGATATAAACCCCTCTCCTCAGATTTGAGCTCCCGGGGCCATGGGAACGGGGATCCTAAACCAGGAGATAGTGACATCCAGGTGAAGAACTGATGTGGTGATGAAGTCACAGACGATGTTCCCTCTTGAATCATTCCTGCCGTTAACAGTCAGAGTAATCTTCACCCCCCTGAAAATTACAATTCCAGCATATTGTTCAGTGAACAGCTTATGCGTAAATAATTTGATGCAAAATCAATCTGAATGCTATAATTAAACGGTTCCAAAACTGACTAAAATACTTACAACAACCATACTTACAACAACCAGAAGGAACTCCTTAATCAGAGTAGTAAAATCAAGAATTAGATATTTCTCTTTCCAACACTTTTAAACAGTGTTAGACTAATTGTGACTAGAAAAGCATTAGTTGAAACTTGAAAGCAGTATCAAATAAACAGAGGAAAACAAAAACAGGCTCTGGTTTTCAATGTTTCCTGTTTTGACCATACAAGAATCAGCTGAGTGGAGCACGCCCATCCCCTGATCATGAAACAGAGACAGGGAATTACCAGTAAAAGTACAGTGAATTCTCCTGACAAAACTGATCAAACAGAGCAATAAATTAAAATTCCCAACAGGGTTTTGAAATTCATCGAAATCCAGGAAGACCCCTTAAGGAAAACTCAAATATCTTTCTCCATCAGATGTGTTTCATCACTAAAAGCAGGGTTTGGTTTGGGGGTGTAAGGTTTGTTGGAAAGTGAGCTAATTGGAATTAAAGCTCTTGTCTTGAGGGACTTTTCCATGGCTGCTTTGAGAACAACAAGAGGTTGTTTTTGTCTTCATTGTTTTGTTTGTCTTTTGGAGGGTTCCAAAGAATATGGAATTTCTTGAAATAGAAAAAAGCATAGAGCTAGAGTCCTCTCTGTTTCTCCCTCTGTTCATCCATATGTTCTGTCTCTACAAACCAGTAATAAGGAAAGAGGAAAACATGTCTGTTTGTTTCACTCTATTTCTCACTAAATTTGATTTGTTTTGTCAGAATGTGAAGTGGATGGGAAGAAGAGCTGGCCAAAATTTGGTATCATGCTCAAGCACAACACAAAAGACAAAGATGTCCTACCAAAACAAAACAACACTCTCTCTTGTTGCTTAGTGGGTGATGGTGGGGATTGCGAGGGAGGCCTTTACGTGTGCCTCCAAATCAGCTATTTTTTCTCTTTTCAAAGCCAAAACCATCTACTTGGGGTTTTCTTCTTCTAACATTATGACAAAAAGACAAGCAAGATACAAGATTTTAACTTCTTTTCCAAGATGTTGTAAAATACTAGATTAGATTAGCATGCTCTAATTAACATAGGATATATAGGTAGAAACTAGAAAGTGGAGCGCAAGGCATCCAGCCCACTTGTTTCTTTTTGTTTGTATTTGTGCCAAAACAGCTGATTCCCTCCACCCTGCCGTAGCTACCACCATTATATTGTCATATTTTCTGGAGAAATTAATTAACGTAGCGAATGCATGAGTCAGCTATTGCGTCTAACCTTCATCAGCCAAATATTTTCCATAAAGGTTGTGGAATTGCATGAACTCTTTTTTTTGCTGGATTGTTTACCATTGCTTTGATTGGTCAACTTGAATTAAGATACTTGTTTTTTATTTTTCTGATCCCTTTCTATATGTTGTTTTGTTTTGTGTTTACATGGAAGTGGGAGAGTGGTTAGGAATCAAACAAATTAAGCACAATCAAAACAAAAGTAGAAAAACAAATGAAATGATGGGTCTAGATATTATCTTCGAAAGAGAAAGGTTATCTTATGCTAGACGCTCTTGATTTATATAGGTGTATATATATATAAACTATTTTTATCATAATTGGAAAGAAAAAAAAAATTTTGTCATTTGATTTGGCCATGAAAGATAGCTATCGATCCTTACAATGTTCAGGTGGGGATGCTTTCAAGAGTTGGGATTTTGTACTTTTGCTTTGAGCTCGTTTAAGTTAACCAAGAATACAACAAAAATCCCTCTAAAATTCAGCCCAACAGAGCTTATTTTATTGGATGGACGTACCAGGATATGTGTATATACATATATATATATATGTGAAGTTTAATCCATAAGTTTACTATATATAAGTAATATAATAATGTTTATTATTAATCTAATAATGTAGGCCTATGTCACGGATTTGGAATTGCTGATTAGTATTAATATTGATTTAGAAATTACTGATTAAAAATTTGAGATAATGATTAAGTCAAAGTCAAATATCAAATGTGAAATTAGATATATGTTGGGCATTTAATGAATATGTTATTCTTCGATAATTGTTCATTTAATTAATTCATTCATTATGAGAGAAAAAAAAATTATAAGACGATTTTATTTGATATTACTTTATGTAATTATATTCTAATTATTCCTTATAGGATTTTATTAAAGAGATGATAAATTAGTGATGAAAATCAAGCATCAACAAGTACAAAAAGCTCTTGATTTACCTCCAATTAAGATGTCTAGCTAATAAGGTGCTATATTTAACTGGGACATATTAAATCAGGTAACCATGAAGGAAGGTTGTTGGGCCAGAGTTTTTTTAGACAAGCTTTGTCTTCGACCATTTTCCAACACTTTGGGTTGGACTGTCTTGCAGTTCTCTAACATAACTAGCTGCCTGCCTCTTGTGATTTGAAATGGCTTTTGGGTCCTGAAGTACGTAAATAATTTTGCTTAGGCGAGGCTTGAGCCTGGACCAAATCTTGATAATGATAAATATAAATGTTTCCAAAAGCTTGAAAACTAAAATCGTAAATGTTTAATTGAATCCATACAAGTTTACGCATATGATTTTTATACGTTTTAAATGAAAGACAACGCATCCGAATACTCAAAAGTGTTTCATGCAATGCAATATAATAAAGACATATAATATTTATATGATCGAATTTAAGTTTAAATATTAAAATTTTATCGAATTTAAAATAAATTTTAAATAATAAATTTTGAGTAAATTTTGAATTTAAATTTTTTATTATATCTGTGATTCAATTATTATCTCTAACTATTATTATTATCTTTCTTTTTTACTTTTTATCATGCCTAACCCAATAAACAAGGGATTTCAGGCAATTAAATAAAATAATGAAAATAATATAAAATCAAAGGAAACGATTGATAACAGCAAATGAAAATCCTAGTAAAGGGGACAAAAGTGACGGTTGATAACAAACTCTTGGTGTAATCGTAACATAACTGTTCCATTAAGCAATGCCCCCTAGAGTTCGCCTATGCACCTGGGCAACCCTTAAATGTTCCAACATGCTCGAATTCACTTTCAGTTTAACCTTAAAATCTGTCCAAAAACAAAAACATTTGAAACTTCGATCTGTCTCACCATGTCCAAATCCTGAACCCCAGAATGCCAGACGCAAAGCAAGGTAAATAAGACAAAGACATCAAGAAGACCCAATAATCATAACCCTTTTTGCCTGCTTCATATATAGTCATAACATATGCATTCTTTCATTTCAATGGAGAAACCCTTTTCTTGTCTTTTGATATCGATCAATGTTCTTCTCCTTTTCTTCTTCACCTTTCCTTCTTTATCTTCTTCTTTCCGATTGCATCCCTCGGTTGCTACCTCAACCCTTGTGCATCGGAATTACACCGCAATATCTGATCACTTTCGTGTGGTCAATAGAAGAGCTTTATTTCAATGCCTTGATCCAAACCCTTTTCTCCAAATTAATGTTAGTAAAAACTCTAACCTCTCTAATGAAGAGTTTGTCACTGTGACTGTTACCGGAGTTTTGCTTCCTTCCAAAAGAGACTGGATTGCCATGATCTCACCTTCCTATTCTAAGTAACATTTTTTACAGTTTTTTTTTTCCTTCCTTTTATATATATGTTCATGATCATTTGAGAATCATAATTTTCTTCATGTCCAATTATGGTTTTGCCTTGCATATGCAGTGTCGGAAGTTGTCTCCAAAGTAAAGCTTTTTATGTACAAACTGGTGACATTAGTAAACTTCCTCTCCTCTGCCATTATCCAGTTAAGGTACGCAATTTTGGTTTTCTAGTTGAAAAGCCTTCTGCCTCTTACTTTCATGTGATGTTCCGCATTCGGTTAAATGGAACTGTGAAAAATGCATGTAAAAGAACTTAAACAGTTGAACTGGCATGCCTGATAAATGTGAGTCACCTATCTGATACATTTTTTTTTGTTAAAAAATTCACTGCTGTTTATAGCTGTGATGCTCTCCTAGCCTGGTGGTGTGCCCATTTAGTTCGTGGCTCAAGCCACCCTTATAATTAATTATTATCACTCACCCTAAACACCATTTACCTTTAATTTTGCTTGTCTAAACTACTTTCCCTTTAGTTAGTTTTTGGATTGATCCCTGGTGAGAAGTGAGAACAAAACCTAGAGAAGCTACGAATTACAATTTTCGATCTATCTTGTATCGGTGAAATTTGGGGTGACAGGAAACTTGAATATTGGACAGTAGTGTAAAGATAAACCAAATTGAGACAGTCAAGCCAAACTAGCTTGTGTAAAACAATGAAGAAGGCAACTAAATCCCAACAAGAAATCAAAGGCTTGACGTAAAATATACAGTTTGGTAACCCCTTGAAGGGACCTAACTTGTACGAGATGCATTACCATTTATAGAATGGATAATATTGAAGGAAGCCTTCCATCATTTCTAGGCTATATGTCACTTCGTATTTAAAATCATATTTCACAGTAACTGACGGATACCGTCTTTTTCCTTCTTTTGTTGTGAAGAGCCGGGTAGATAGCTAGCTAGGCACCTCACCCTGACTTCACACTTACATCGTCAGTTACCTGTAGCCTAAAACCCATAAAATTCCCATTAACAATTTGGTTTTTGAGAACATATATATAAATATATATATATATATATTTTACATAAGAAGATGAAATTTTGGCAATAAAAAGAATTCAATCCTGAAGTCTATATCTGTCATGTTAACCTATTTTCATGGGTTAATTTTATATTTTTAAATGGAGCAGAACCAGATATACCAAACATGGGTGTTTTGGCAAAAAAAAAAAAACATGGGTGTTACTTCATAAGCAACGCCTTTGAATATAATAATTTATTGCACTATTAGGAACCACAATGATTTTCATGTTCTTCAAACATGTTTTCCCTTCTTTTTCTTACATGATTTGTTTAGTCTTTTGAAATGGGAATCAAAATTTCTAAATATTAATCATGGAAAACGATCTATATCAAGAAATTCAAAAACCAAAAGTTGAATATGACAGGATGACCATCTCCTTTTTCTTTTTTCCTTTAAAAAATTGGAAAGCTAATGTTTTCTTTGAATATGGGATTTTTTTTTATGTGCTATTTTCTGGTAGGCAAACTTCAAACATTTAAGAATGATAAAGGAACAATTCTAATAAACATCCATTGAATTTGAATTGTGCAGGCAAAATATTTAAGCAGTGATCCGACCTATCTAAGTTGCAAGAAGAAAGAATGCAAGAAATATAGCAATGGCAAATGCGAGGTCACAACTTGCATTGGCTCCGTAACTTTTCATGTTATTAACATAAGAAGTGACATTGAATTTGTGTTCTTTACTGGAGGCTTCCTTAAGCCTTGCCTTTTGAGAAGGAGCAACCCCTTGAAATTTTCAACTCCGAATGCGCCATTGTATGGACATCTCTCAAGCAGAGATTCCACTGGAACATCGGTAATTAGCATCCACATGCATATGAGTTAGTTCTCTAAAAAAAATTATTAATACATATATAAGTTAACTATCTTTACATTTGTTTAAGACATGAGCTTGTTAAGGGTGAAGTTGATGGTTCTGCTGATAAGAAATCAGCCAGCGATTAAGTCTGAGAATTTTGTTATCAATGGAGCTGCAGATGAGATTAACATGGATCAGCGGGGATGAGAAACCTCAACAAGTCAAGTATGGGAATGGAAAATCACAGACATCAGAAGTTACAACCTTTTCCCAGGATGATATGTGCAGTGAGTTCCGTATTATAGTACTCTTCAAGAATATCATGTTGGCTTAAATATTTAAGTATAAACCATCTGTAACGATTAATTTCATAAAAGTTTTCACTTGCATTTATAAGTTGATTGTAAAATGGATAGGTTCTATTTTAATACCAAGTCCTGCCAAGGATTTCGGGTGGCATGACCCTGGTTACATTCACACGGCAGTGATGACAGGACTTCAACCTTCCAGCACCTTCTACTACAAATATGGAAGGTATAGCAGGAACATCATCTTATGATAACTGAATAATTCCACTCAATTTTTGTTCTTGATATTACAAGCTTATAATTGTTGTGTCCCGTGGGCTAGAATTTTGCGCCTATATTCATGAAAGACATATGCATCTCCTTGCTAATTTGTAGAGAGATTTGGGGGGTTTTCTATGAGAACAAAATGTCCTTGTATTCTATGATTCAGTGATGCAGTTGGATGGAGTGATCAAATGGACTTCCGGGCTCCACCTGCTGGAGGGTCAGATGAACTTAAATTTCTTGTATTCGGTGATATGGGAAAGGCTCCTCTTGATGCTTCTGCTGAACACTACATTCAGGTAGAGACACAATTCAATGTGATCACTGTCACAGAAAACTTGACGTTGATATATAGGACGTATCTTAATTTTCCTAAACTTGACCAACGTTTCTGGAAACTGGCTTGCTTGATCATTGTTTTATTCCAGTTCAGATTCATATAATCTCAATAGTTTGTAATATGAACAAAATCCAATGGCACAATCCCATAAATTTGAATGGTAGATACATGCCATCACCATATATGCACTAATGAGGCTTATATAACTGACACATGTAGCCAGGATCTCTCTCAGTGCTAAAGGGAATGGTTGAAGAATTGAAAAATGGCAACATAGACTCCATTTTTCACATTGGGGACATAAGCTATGCAACTGGCTTCCTAGTTGAATGGGAGTTCTTCCTTCACCTTATAAACCCTTTGGCTTCTAAGGTTTCTTACATGACGGCAATCGGAAATCATGAAAGGTAAATTTCTTTCCTAGCTACTAGCTAGCAGTGTATAAAAGATATAGTATTCTCAAAATTGCAGATGACTATACTAGAATCAATATTTAGAATTATGATTGATCACAAACGATCAAGCTATCCAGTAATTGATTAAAATCAGCACCAAAAGATCCGTACAGTTTACCTGCCATGCACCTTTCAGGGATTATGAAGGTTCAGGGTCTTGTTACCCAAGCCCTGACTCTGGTGGAGAATGCGGGGTTCCTTATGAGACCTATTTCCCAATGCCGACCTCAGCAAAGGATAAGCCATGGTATTCTATAGAACTAGGCAGTGTTCACTTCACAGTCATTTCAACAGAACACGACTGGACAGAAAATTCTGAACAGGTAAAAATTAGCCTACCCTTTTGCTCTGCATTAAGTGTTGATATTATACTGATTATGAAATTGGCATGGTTTCAAAATTTTCAAAGTACAAATGGATGAAGAAGGACATGGCCTCAGTCGATCGATCAAAAACACCTTGGTTAATTTTTACAGGGTAAGTTCAATGTTTCCAAAAAATTGCCAAGTCCATGTAATGGTCACAGAATTCCCTGATTTTCTGAGACTGTTGTCAAGTGCAATATGTGCAAAATGCAGGCATAGGCCTATGTATAGTAGTTGTCCTGGCCTAGGCAATACTGATATTAATTTCCGTAATGTCATAGAACCAGTCCTGCTGGATAACAAGGTAAGAGCCTATTCTTGCTTCAGTATTATTTGTTTGGTATCTTTTGATGTAAATGATGGTTTGGAACAATGAGCTAGGTCGATCTGGTTCTTTTCGGCCATGTTCATAATTATGAGAGGACATGTTCCATTTACAACTCTCAATGCCTGGCAATGCCAACGAAAGATGAAAATGGGATAGACACATATGACAATGGTAACTTCAAAGCACCTGTGCAAGCTATTGTTGGAATGGCTGGCTTCAGTCTTGACAAATTCTCACCCCTTGTAAGTCTAGTGGACATGTTGTGTCAAAAATTAATAGAATTTTATTCACAGTTTGTCAATGGGGTTATCATTCATGAACAGGCAGCTAGTTGGAGTTTGTCAAGGATTTGTGAATTTGGCTATGTTAGAGCCCATGCAACAAAGGATGAGCTAATGGTAGAGGTTGGTGACGGAATATTTTTCTAATTTATAACATATAGAAAGATCAGTTGACAGCTTTTTGCTAATTCATATGAATTTCTTCACTTTTTTGTAGTTTGTGAATTCGAAAACAAGGACGGTCATGGACAGCTTCCGCATCACCAAAAAGCAAAATTAAAGAAAGTTGGAGAATTGTAACGAAAATTTCAATGTCATATGAAAAGAAAGCATGGAAGAAGATAATTTTCTATAGGACATAAATTTCCTTAAATGCATGAATTTAGTTCTTAGAAGTTTTATCATAGCCTTTGTGTAATGAATTAATTTTAGCCTTAATTTTTCATCCTGGTTTATGATCAATTGTTTACCTTTTTTCCCTCTCTCCTTTCTCAATTTTAGCATTACCTGAAGTGTGACAGCGAAAAAGCTGTTGTTTTTCAACTCTTGTCTTATTATATTGGGAGTTAATTAGGCGCTGCAGCCACCGTGAAGCAGGCAAATTAGTGATAAAATAGTTACATCTCCTCAGTTTTAAGGTAGAAAATGTTGTTTAGGAGTTTATTTTTCTGAGCATCGTTAATTGGCATATTGTCCTTTGACTCCCATCCCAACATCAACATATATATGTTTTACGACAGACCCCTCTCCTTCCCTCTGACAATAATAGCTAAATTCATGCACGTTACCCTCAGCTTTAAAATTTTTTTTATTCTTAATTTGTAATTTCTTTGCCATAGTTTGACACACTCTCTCTCTCTCTCTCTCTCTAATGTGAAAAGGAGAAAACAAACGAAACAAAATCGCCGCAACTTAACAACATTAGCAAAATTTCATTAAATAGCAAGAACTTCCATACAGTTTAATTATAGTTACAGAAGACTTGTATAAATCAGTAGCAGTTCAATTCTCCAGTTAAAGCTTAAGGAGCTACCAACTATTGCAAGAAAAGGAAAAATCACGATGCCAATTCTGTAATGATGTTCCTGGCAAACACACAAGCTATAGTACGAGGTTGAGAGGTTGAGTATAATGCAAACAAGGTATAAGTTGACCCTACTATGTTTGTTTGTAGAAGAGAACATATGCTTGATCGTGCAACACCTTGCTCGTCCCAATGGCTGTGACAGAGGCATCATCAAATCGCAGCCATTGACCATTGGGGTAACGAGCATCAGCTGTATAATGCCCCTTAGAAGGCTCACTTCCATGATGGGTTATCGTAGCAACCAGTTCATATTTTCGGCCCTATAAATTAATTACAAAAAATAAACATTGAATATAGCATTGGCTTGTTAACTAGTTGGGGGTGGGGTGGGGGGGGGGGGGGGGGCGCAAAAAATAAACAAGAGCCCGAATATAGGATCATTTTAGCAGATACTATAGTAAAAGAAGACTTAAAGCAAGTCAGCTACTCAGCTTTAACTAAAGCTGCTTCTTATTTCACAACGTGAATTTGCAACATGCAGAATCATGCAAAGCAACCGTATTTAAACAAGTGAAGGAAGAGAAGTGTTACCCCAGTGGATGGAGAAACAAGTAGCTCCCGAACCAATACCAACTCAAGTGGGAAGTGTACAGGCTTAAGTAACTTGGTACTCCCCTGGCTTCCATAGCTAAAACGCATCAGGTGCAAAATCATTATCTTTGAAAGTTTCTGTATCTTGACAGATTTTCTGGCAGTGACAATACCAGCCTGCTGGACATAAACACATAACCATAACCAATTTATCACAAATAATATCTAAACATACAGGAAAAGATGAGACATAACATAAACAAACACTCAAAGATTTATACAAAAATAGAATATTCTGGAAACAAGTAAAAGAAAATAAATACCTTCCCAGCTGTTGATGCACGATAACCTTCAAGATATTCTGGTGCAGAAAACAAATGAAGTGCATCCTCGATGGTATGAACAGCTTCAGGGTGGATATCAAGGTGGAGCAATAGAAATGGTTGAACAGTAGCAGAAGCCTTGTTTCCTGCCCCACAAAACAAATTAAGAAAAATAAAAGATCAAAATGTTAATAAATGGTAGTATAACCAGATAACATAGTGCAAAATCCACCCAAGAACACAAACTAACATGAACAAAACCAAGTTTGGATAAGTATATGTATTTCCACTTTGTTTACAGATAAAATTTTACAAGCATAAATTGCTGGAATTATCTAGTTAATTTGTCTGTCAGTGTTGGCTTGTCTGAGTTATCTTTTGGTAGGTACAGTCGTAAAGTAAAAAAAAGCCCAGGTTGGCAAATCCCATAAATACATGTAACAAAAAAATAACCCCACAAATTGGCAATTTTCACATTATCCAATATACTTTGCAGACATAGCATATGTCCCTACCTCTTGCCTTCACCACGCTTCTCAACTGTCCTCCAAAAATATCACTTAGCTCTGAAGGAAGGAAGCTTTGAGTTCTTGTGACTGCTGATTTGTTTTTTGGTCCAACTGTCTCCCATTCATCATCTTCTACAGAAGAAACTAATGATGACCTCACCCCATTAGAGCTACTGGACTGCCCTTGAAGCTTAATCAATTCATCGTGCATTTGATCCATGATAAAACTTAAAAACTCCTGAGCATCTTCCTGCCTGAAAAGGATGATAAATAAAAAATCATCACATTGTTATTACAGAAGACAAAGAGTTGTCTAAGTTGCAAGACATTGAACATAGTAGATAGTTAAGTCTATTGATCATTCTATTTTCAAGCATTTACAAACATTTCAACAAATCACAGAATTTCTTGTCATAAAGTGCTGATGAGGAAGCTATAGCAAGGTGGCACTAAATTACTATATAATTGACACCAAAAGCAAGGAGAGAGGGAATTGATAGGTAAGATAACCAAGCTCTCAAAAACTTTTAGCATTTTGGAAAGGATTAAAAGAAATCAAGAGAGCCATGACTAGCATTTTTAAATTCAAGATCATGGAGGATGATATGTCAATTCTACAATGTTATCAAATAGTCAAGTTTTTTTTATTGCAAGAGAAAGGGTCTATGCAAAGAATGTTGCTTGAGACTGGTAAAATATACAAATACTGACAAAACACTGACGTAGAAAGTATACAAACCTTGGCCGACCAGATATGCTATTTGGCACATCTGGAGTAAAACTTTTGAGGATAGCTTCAAACATGCCAGGGCTGAAAGGCCTACCAATCTCAAGGACTGTTGTATCTTTCTTCGTTACATTAGAATCGCTGGATGGCACATCAAAGTCAGATACAAACTCTGCAAAAGCAGTTAATGTTGGATAGCCAACCTATCAAATCAAAGCCAAACACAATGAAGGTTAGTTGAACCTATTAACAAGTTCATATTTACTCATCTTCAAATATAGCAAATCATCAATTTGAGATGGTCATTTATTAGTGCATAGTTCAAGGAAACAACATAATTAAACAACAAACCTTGGGTATAATACAAAGTCGAAGTTGATGCAAGAGCTGGACAAAAGGAGAACAGGATAGAAGAGCCTGTAAAGTAGCATTAAGAAAGCATAAATTTCCAGAGTTGATTAAGCCTCGGGGTAATAAGTTTTTAAAAATTGTGGCTGCCTTCTGAATGTCTCCTTGAACGGTGCATACTAATGAAATATCAATCATCCCGTTCTTATCTCTACCCTCTACCTTTTCGCTCTCAAGCACATGCAATTTCAAACTTTGAAAATAATTCAAGGGACCGTATTCATTTTGCAATAAGAGCAGTGAAGTTACATCAATGCTTTTTGCATTCAGTTGTTTTACACCATTACTGAGGCCAGAACCATCAGTGGAACTCTTTGTATTTCCATTTTCTTTTGGTGTTTGAAGTGTAGTTGAGGAATGATCTGTTGCTGTTTTTCTACTTTTTCCATCCTCAATTGATGATGTTGAGGATAGACATCCAACTAGCCCGTTTGTGGAACTAGGCTTGTTGCTCAAATCACCATTGGCACTACCCAAAGATCCTCCAGCTGCAAAATTCAAAGAACCAAATTGCAATTCTTTCTTTTCCACAGGCTTTTCAGCATTCCCAGCTGACCGCTTTAACAGCAATGACCTGGTTTCATCTTCAGTAAATGACCCAAAAACGAGTACCTGCTAAAAGCAAAGAAAACAATAGAGCTACAGCTCTGATTCGAAGCTACGCAATTGATACCTCATGCATAAGTAAAACATAGTAAGGCTTGTCTTAATAATAATTCAATTTCAACCAAATGATAATTTTATGTATGTAGACCCCAACCCACAGTAATCAATCGATCCAAAAACTAAAAGATTGTAATGCTAAAAGAAGAAGAGGGCATAAGCAAGCATAAACCCATTAAAATTAAATAAAAATTCCTAAACTGTAAGTGCTTAACAAGAAAACAAAAGCAAGCCCACCTCAGAAACAGCAATATTGTGTTCATTTAACAAAAACCCCAGATATAAAAAATAGTAAAACATAAATTAGAGGCAGGGAAGGGAACTAACCTTAGAATCACTCATGTTTTATACAAAGGGGAAGTTTGAGAGGCATAGAGAGAAGATCAAAGCCTAGGGCTTGAGAGGACCCTGAAGGAGCAGATAAGAAAGAGGGTGTAATTGAAGAAGACATGAAAAAAGAAGGAACTTTGAAGGGGAGATAAAGAGAGAGCATTTAATGAAGGAACCCTCTCTTAGATCCTCTTCAACTTCACCAAAGCCAGGCATCGACTGCATCAAAATCCCAACGAGACGAAATTTGAATCCTTTACTTATTTGGGGATTTAGGGTTAGGTTTTTCTGAGGGGGACAGCTTGTGTTTGCGGACGGCGGTGATGTTTTGAAAGGTCTCGTGTTATGAATAACCACACATAATGGTGTACTTTGTCGGCTACTTATCTCGCAAGTATCCATGCAAATTTGCAAATAGAAAAAAGGCCCAAACGAAAATTTTGCATTTACAGAAAAGCCCGAACGGCTTACTAAAAATATAAAATTTGAATTCCGTTAGATTATTGTTTAATCAAATTTCAGTTCGAACGATTTAATTTATTAAAAGAATCAAGCTTAAGTATTATAATATTTGATTTGAGTAAATTATAAATTTAATTAAATTTTTATTATTTTTTATAATTTAATTAAAAATTTATTATTTTATTTTTATATATAACTCAAATATAAAAATTAAATTTTTTTTTAATTGAACGAATTGTAAATTATATTTTGAATGGATCAAACTTAAAAATTAAAATTCCATCGTCTAAATTTCATAAAGTAATTTTAAGTTAAAGCTCGAGGTTGACCTTGCACTTTATTGATTTGATTATACTCTGACCACACCCGTAGGCTCACTCCCATTTCGTTTATACTCTGAAACTCCCTTCGTACATCTCTCTCTTGACTTTTGTCTGTCTCCACCAATCACCATCAGAATGCCCAGCCACCACCACCGCTGCACTCCACTTCTCTCCTCCTCTGCCTCAGCCTCCTGCTCCCAATCCTTTCTTTCCAAGCTCCTTCTCCTCCTAACAATCCTCCCTCTCTCTTTAGCTGCCTTAGCCTTCGTTCTCCAGTGGCGCGGAGGGGGTGTATCCGATCCCACCATCGCCACATCCTCCGCCACTTCCCGATAGGCCCCACGTGGATCCCACCACGAGGTCTTCGCTGGCATGGAGACTTTCTCATCTCTCTCCCCCAAATCTCATTCTTCTTCTGATTGCATCAATCTTGGTCGTCGCTCTTCCCCTTCTTTCCCTTACTATGGGGATTGGAAATTTGGTTTTGAAGCTAATTTGAAGCCAAAGGCACGCCATTTTTCTTCCTTTTCTGCAATGATCTGAACCTGGCTATAAGCTTTTAATTAAATAGCTTTTCTTGCTTGGCTTGCTAAGTTATGCTTTTTTTGGTTGTTGGGTTATTTTTTGAAGGATTGATCTTGCTTCTGGTAATTGATATTTGGTGGATTGTTTAACCACTGTGATTTCAGCTTAGGATCTTGTTGAATTCACCAATTTTGGCTTTGATCCTTATCTGCTTTTTTGGATTATAGGTCGAAATTTTATTATTCAATTCATCTGAGTTCAAAGTTTTTATCTTTCTCCCAATTGACCTGTAGTTTGAATTTAAAAGTATTTTTCTTTATAAAATTGTTCTTTTTTCTAGTGATTTTCTTTCTCATTAAATCAATTTTATAGTTAGCACGCATACATTCATTAAGAATTTAGCTGAAGTTTCCTCCAAAAGCAATTGTTGTGATTTTTCATAACCTTCAGCTGTTTTGCTTCTCATATAACAGATTTGTATTACAGCAAGTACATCAGCTGGCTTGGATCAAATTTTACCATGGATGTTTTATCATAAGGTTATTGGAGTCACAACTTTTTTCCTCTTTGTGGAAGGGCATGCTGCATCTCCTAATGTTTCTAAAGTTTTGGAATCTATTCCTGTGAGTTTAAGAAGCCTTTCCTTCATCTGATTTAGTTTTTCTCTGTTTTTCATTTCTAAGTAGAATTGATCCACTTGATTTTCCCGTGGCTGCTGTTGGTCCAAATTGCTTAAAGCATAAGTTTTATGTCGTTGCTCTTCAGGGAGTAAAAGTTATATACAGAACAAGAGAGCTTGAGGAGCAGCAGGCTAAAAGGTCGAGTAGCTTTTCCCCTTTGATGATTGAAATACATCTTTTGGATTCTAAAGCTAAAGTAAAAGCATAGTTTTTCTCTATGTTTCTTCCTAGTATTTTATTTAACTAGTACTTTAGCTGAATGTGGAGGCCACTGGTGATAAATTGTCTTTATTTTGCATTAATTTCAGGCTTTCTTTCTTTATATTTCTATGTTCACCCCATCATCCATTTCTTTTCCGATTCTATAGGGCCAAGTCCGATTCATTTTTGGTCAAAATGGTTTTGTGTTTTGTCACTTTACTGTTAGAGTTTGCTTACTTAATCTTTATTCTTTTGGCATTTTTTGGGGTTATCAGCCAGATCTGGAATGAAACATGGCTGTCAAGTTTCTTTTACAAGCCTTGCAATTATGAACTATTTGTGAAGCAGTCTCTCAACATGGAAATGGCCATTTTCTTGGCAAGGGTATGCAGCATGGATGATTCTATTTTCATGCATGGAAATACTTTGTTATTTGTAATTACTAGCACAGTAGCCTTGACCTTATTTTAATAAGTTTATTCATTTGCATTTTGAAATATAAGGATGCTGGAATGGACTGGATTCTTCATCTTGATACTGATGAATTAATACACCCAGCTGGTGCAAGTGAATATTCTTTGAGGCAGTTGCTGCTTGATGTGCCTAGCAACATTGATATGGTCATATTTCCAAATTATGTGAGTGGCATTATATAAATATATCAATAAAGGAACTTGGAATTGGTGGTTATAATTGTGTATCTTGTTATTCTTTTGGAATCCAGCCTGTGACATGTGATAGCGGAAATTTTCTCCCTTTTTATTTAGGAGAGCGGTGTTGAACGAGATGATATCAAGGATCCTTTTAGTGAGGTAAATTTTAACTTGTCCTTTTTCCTCACTTTTGATTAGTTCAGTAAATTGGATGACTGAAGTTAGGATTTGGAGTTTGGTACATGGCTTAGTTTTCTATCCATGCAAACTGGTGTCAATGTTCAAGAAGAACTATGACCATCTTCCAAAGGACACATATTTTGGCATGTATAAGGAATCAACTCATGGTAATCCAAACTACTTCTTGACTTATGGGAATGGGAAAGCAGCTGCTCTTGTTCAGGATCATCTTCGTCCGAATGGTGCTCACAGATGGCGCAATTATATGAAAACTCCAAAGTATGGTGACTGTCTACTAGAAAACCTGATCAGATAACCTGATGCAATATTAGCATCACACGTACAAGTCTCATAAATTCTTATGTAATTCAATATACTTGCATATCAGGGGCGAAGGGTGGGTGAGGATAAGGGGTGGTTGGGGCCTTCTGGGTGGGGACAGGCTGCTGCTCGGTCATTGATAATGAAAGTAAGTTTTAATTTGGCTTCATATCATTGATAAGCATATGGTAATTGAAACTACTTGACTTGTGAGAATGGTAGTTGCTTATATTCATTATCACCTTCTGTCTAATGGTGCATACAAGTGGCAATCCTGAACATAATTATACTTGGTACAACTTTTGTTTTTAAGTGAAATCAAATTGGAGGAGGCTGCTGTTCTACACTACACATATGCGAAATTTTCAGACCTGACATCTAGACGTGATCGCTGTGGCTGCAAACCTACCAAGGAAGATGTCAAAAGATGCTTCATGTTGGAATTTGATAGAGCTTTAAGTTTAGTGTCTTCTGTTATTCTTGTATTCTTGTTTATCTTGATATCTTTTACTACTGCCATTCATGTAGTAAGTATTGCAATATGGAAAATGCAACAAGCTATCAAGGCACTAAACCTTGAGAGATCTGAACTAGATATTTACTGCTGTGAGATAAAGACTTTTATTCTCATGTTATCTTTTCTTTTGAGAAATTCGGAGAGCCTAAACTAAAGGGGAAGACCATTAAGGACATGGATCTAGATATCTAGAAGCATTGAATATCCATTCAATTATTGACACTGATAAAATTTTTTGAGTAATATTTCGACTGATGTATGATAGTGTCCCAAACAATTCATAAGGGAATATGATGATGCATGTATTTCGTGGTTAATATTCCTGTGAGGTAGTCAGTGGACACCCAAGTGAGTATTATGTGACATGAATAAACACTATCTTGGTTCTTAATTTATTCTAATCCTGTGTTGCCCGGCTGTTTCTCTTTTTCCCTCTTTCTGAGAATATGGACCAGATGTTGCAGGGTTAATTTGTGGTTTATGTGGTTGGATTTCTCTCTGATGTATACTTGTGTTTGATATGATTGCTTGTTTTGGATATCATTTCCTTCTCACTGCTGTGTCATTGTCTATGTAAATGTTATTTGTTGCAGGCATTTATAATTGCTTCAACTGCAACGGAGGAAGAGATGCTTAACTGGTTTACACTTGAATATAGAGTGTTTTTTTTTTTTTTTTTTTGGGGGGGGGGGGGGGAGAGGGGGGTGTGCACTGCTTCATTGTCCCTTTCAGCTTGATACTAGTATGTGGATGTACTGATGTAGAACTATTGGCCTCTGGTTTTTGTAGGTATCATGAACATGTTGTATGGGGTGAAAAAGACCTAAGACTGAAGCTCCTGAGAAAGGGGATTTTAACTCGCATAGATGCTCCTATGGTAAGAACAGTTATTAACATTTTTGAACATAAGAAATCACAGGAAATTAAAACTGCTTTTATAAGCATTCACCTTTAAAATTCATTTCAACATGTTTATGGGTTGTCAGAGTAAGGACTTGTCCTTTTTGCTATGAAACTTATCTTGAATGGATGTGCTAGCATATAAAGGTTCTGGTGCAGTGTTGGAAGGCTGTCAAGCTGATTGAGTGTAGTTACTTGTTCGAAATTGAAAGAACAGAATTTTAAAAAATAAATAAATAAATGGATGACTTGTCTGCGAAATGCATTGAAATTATCCTTAAATTCTCATTACAGTTCAATAATATGTCATACAAGTGGCGTTTGTACTTTGATAATGTGTTCAAATTTCTGTGCCTTGGCTTTTCCTCTTCTCCTCTTCCTAGCAATTAATGTTCTCTCTTACTGACTCAGGCAATGATACAAGGTTTAAGGGAGTCTGGCGTATTCAGCTCTGTTATTGCAAATGCCCCCACTACTCTCTCAAGGGACAAGTTTTTAGCATCCATTGATAGTAGTAACTCCTCAAGAGCTGTTCCCTCCATGTCTTTTGCTTCAAGAAAGATTGGTAGGAACAGAGAGCATCAGACATCTGCTAGGAAAGTGCTGGAAATTGAAGCTAGTGCAGCTCATGAAGCAGCTGTTCCACCATTGTCGCCCCCAGTGTGGACAATGACCCCCTCATAGAATGGATGGTGTGAATGCTTCTATTTAAGCAATTTTTTGTTGTTGTTGTTGTTGTTGTTGTTGTGGTGGTGGTGTATGGTTAAATTTCAGCTCTGCAACTTGATGTTGGAGCAAGAAATCTGGTATTGTAATTCTTATTTGTAGATACCACAGTATTGACATTTGAGGCTGTTATTATTCCTAGCCATCAGATGGAAGTCAAAGGAAAAATAATTGTCATTATTTAAAATTTGGATATGATACTGAAGTTACGTTTATCCTTTGCATCAACACCATGCCATTTCTCGACATCATAAGCAGCGTAATGTTTGCAACATGAAGAAACCTTTAATATATATCTATCTTATCTTTAAAAAAAAAAAAAAACCCTTTTTTTCTTATTATAGATATCTAAAAGTGCTATTCTTTATCCATCATCTAGGTTTAGGTGAGGTTTGGCAGTAATTAATATCATTCTGTCTTGTTTATTGGAGATTAAAAAGTTTAGAAAAAGTAGAGATCCAATTGTTTTTTATATAAAGCAATTTGTTACAAGTGGCTATTCAAAACAGATTTTGAAGGGAATAAATTAAAGAAAAGAAATAAAAAGAAAACTATGCAATTTTCTAATTGGAAATTCTGGTGTCTGACCAGGTACGAGTGCTACAATTATTCAATTTCCATATATATGCTAAATTTTACAACTATGCATGCATGGATATCTTACCTTTTATGTCAAAACTAATAATAAGAATAAGAATTCCAGGAAATGGATCTTTCCCACACAAATTATTCTAAGTACCATATGGTCTCTGCAGTCTTGAACCCCAAACAACACAAATCAAAGCCATGAAGAGCATCTCCTTCTCAGCTGTTCTTCTACTGTTTCTGTTTCTCTCTTTTGGTAAGGTTCTATCATTCACTAATAAATCAATGAAGCCCTTTATGCTTTAGCATTATTTAATGAAACTTTGTATTGCATGCAGATTAATCATTAATCACACGTGTGTTTTATGAGTACAGGCAATCGGCTGATAATGGGAGAGAGCTCAGATTGTGAGCAATCATTTCCTAACCCTGGCTGCACACAAGATGAATGTAATAATCTTTGCATTGAGCATTTTGGGAAAGCTGGGAAATTCGGAACTCCAGTTTATGGGGTTTGCTTTATGAGTACAACTTGTATCTGCCGTCAATGTTAAAGCCTAAAAGTTACAACTTAGGCTAGTTTATTTTTTTCTAGCTCTGTTTCCGGAACAAACAAATTCCCAAAAGGCATTGAGATTTAATAAAGTGGTTGTATTTCTGCAGTGAAAGTTATTTAAAGTTTAAGGAACGAACATTAAGTTTAAACTCGAGATATCAAGGATCAAACCTGATGGTTGCCAACATTGAAGGAGATAGGCTTGGAGATAGGCTTAGAAACAGGCTAAGATACTGTTAATGATCAAGAGAATTGAAGTTGATGAGTTGAGATCAGAACAGTAGATTTAATTAAACTGCAACGTCATATTGGATCTAAACCACAATGAAGGTTAATAAGATGACTTAGTCATGGAACAACCCTTGTGTGTGAGTGTGGTTATATCTCATGGAATAACCTTACAAAATGGAAGAGCATACAGAGACTGCCCTGTGCATATTTGGACCCAGCAGCAGAACCACAACCATCTAGAGAAGCAAAACAAGCTGAGCTGATAGATGCAACCTGACACATGCTGATAGACATTAAATCATTAGTCTGCATCCACCTGTCAACCAAGCCCGACTAATCCTGATGCCTCTTATATAGTCCTCTAAGACAACTCCAAAGATGGTAACCCATTGCTCCATTCAGTGACTCGTACAAACAAATTAAATCAACAGAGCGAATGGGATCCTCTCATGCAGGCTGTGGTGTTTAGATAACTAAGATTAGTAGCACATAGGGCAAATGAGACATTGAAAATATGTATTGAGTATTGGCCTTCAATTCTTCATCTAGATAGCAGGGTGGAACCCTTTGCTTTTAATTTGGATTCCAGACCAAAGAACTTTAACCCTGAGAGCACAAGGTCTGCTGCTTTCTTCTCCATATGTTCAATTAATAATTCATCATACACAATTGTATTAGCTTCAGTCAGAAGTTTGCGTGTTCTCAAATTAGCAAAAACCTTCCTTGCCTCTTCTACGGTCTCGTACTTGCACATGCCAGATATAATTGCAGAGCATATAATGTTATCTGGAGGCAAACCTTCTTGCATCATTTCGTTTAACACTTCCATCACTTTCTCAGCACCTGATTTACAGGCATGAAGAATAGTAAGAGTGTACTTAAATGCCATTGGCCCACTTGTAACATTACCTAAGCAATCACGAACAAGCATCATAGCCGCATCAATCTCCCCAATTTGGCAGAGACCTTTAGCAAGAGAATAGTAAGCATCAATAGAAGGAACACATGACATCTCTATAATTTTGTTATGGCAGACACAAGCCTCTTTAATATCCTCATCTTCAACATAACATATTATTGCAATACTATATGTTGAAGAGTCAGGCTTAAAGTTCAAATCCTTCATTTCTTGAAAGAGTGATAACGCTTGTTTCACCTTCCCAGTCTTATGCAGAGCCTCCATTAGAATATTGTAAATCGGAACACTACTGTAACCTTTCACCTTTAACTCATCGAGCACTTGTACAGCCATTACTGTTCTTTCCCCCTTCCCAACCATAAACGAGAAGAACTTCGAAAGATCATCAATAACAGAAAATCCTAACTTTTGCATCTTCTCTAGCAACCTGCAAAAGTCATCCATTCGTCTCATCTCAGCAAACGCCACCAACATGGGATTCACGGTCGCAAATTCTGGCTCTAAACCCTCTTGTATTGTAATTTGTAAAAGCTTATAAGCTCTATCAACCTGCCTCGCATCACATAAGCCCTCAATAAGTGAATTGTAAATCCCCAAATCAGCCCTGTACCCTGAATCTATCAAATCCTTCAACAAATCACAAGCAGACCCAAGCTTCCCATCCTTCACAAATCCTTCAATTAAGCCACCGTAAGTCTCCCTCTCAATCAAAATCCCTTTCTTTTTCATCTCCCTAAACAACTCATACCCTTCCTGCACCCTCCCTCCCTTACATAACCCTGCAACTATCGTCACATATGCCATCACATCTGGCTTCACCCCATCTCTCTCCATCTCCTTCCAAACACGCAAACCCCCATCTAAATTTCCTTCTGAAACCAAAATCCTAACCATAGCTGTATAGGCAAAAACATCCGGCTTACATAACTTCTCCCTCATCCTCCCCAAAACCTCCAGCATTTCGCCAATCCGCCCCACCTTACATAAGCCCTTGATCAAAATCATGAATGTGATACTCTCCTCCACCAAACCATCCCCCCTAAAATCCTCATACACTGACGATGCTAAATCTAAATAACCAGTTTTGACCAATGCATCCATTATCCGATTATACAAAAAAACACGCGGCTTTATTCCAAAAGTCTTCATTTTCTGATATACATAATAAACCCTTTGTCCTCTATTGTTATCAGCATGCATTCGTATTAAAATTTCAAACTGTTTTTCAGTTGGTGGCTTCCCTTGGGAATCCATTAGTTCAGGTAACTGATCAGCAGCTCGAAAACGACCATTTCTATTGAGGCAATAAGCTAAAGCATTATAAGAAGCGAAATTGTGTTTAAATCCTTTCTGCTTACCAGCCCAACGGAAGAACTTGGAAGCCAGAACAGGGTCATTTTGGACTTTGAGCACTTCCGCCACGAGCGAGGCGGTGACGCGGCGGAGCTTGTTGAGTTCAAAGACGACGGGTGGTCCCCATGTGTACTGGTTCTTTCGGAAGGCATCGAGGATGAAGCGGGCGATGGGGGAGAGTTTTGGGTTTCGGAGGGGATTGGGAATGGACGCTGGTGATGGGTTCTGCAAGAGGTGATGCGGGTCCCATTTGCGGAGATCGAAGGGTGGTGCATGCGGTGGAGGGTTTTGGGGAGTTTTAAGGATTTGTCGATTGGAAAATAGGCCACCGTAGACGACGGGGCGGTTTTGAGAGGGCTTCCGGTGGCCGTAAAAGAAGTAGGGTTTTGGGGGTTTAACGGGGACAGGGAAGGACTTGGGTGGCATTTTTGATAGTAAGTGGTGGTTTTGATGTCCCTGCGTTTTAAGGTTTCATGTGGTTTTTTGCTTTTCTGCAGTTCCCGACCGACAACAGTTGCCTCAGATATTCGTATTGGAATGGAAAGTAGGGGCCTTTTCGTAACAACGTCAGCCAACCGACATGTCTACTTACATAGAGTTTTCAGAAACCCCATGCTGACTTTGAGTGGAAAAAACAAAGTTGTCTTGTTTACGTTGTAAAGCTCTTTTCCTTTTGAGTCTGTCTTGTCTAGCAGAGGAGCTTCGCCTTCCAGAGTTAAATAGGCCAAAAAAACCACCGTTATTCATTTGATGCGAAACTAAAAGCAATTAGAAATTAGAATGATTTATTAGTTGTTTCTGGCAAAAGATCAGCCAAAGACAATGGATAAAGAAGCCTCAGCAAGTTCATAAGTTCAGCTACAAGCAAAATCTGTAATAACATAGTTTCATCCACAATTCCCTCACAATTCTCCATCTCTTCAATAATAAACTCACTTTAGAAAACCCAATTTTCCAATTCTCTTTAGAAAACCCAATTATCCAATTCTCTGCATGGTTACCATGGCAGAGCAATGTGCATTGACCTTCTTTTATATAGTATCGTCTTCCTTGGGATGCCACCACAATGATACGAAGGAACATTTCTAACAGTAATATTACATGAATCCGCACTCCGCCTAAGAATTGTACTAGGCCTCGATATTAACAGTTTTTTCCACCTTGAAGCAAATGTTTCAGCTACCAGCAGAGGGAAAGCAATGGTTGCATCACAATGTACCTGATTCAATACAATCAAGAGACAAGACAGGAATCAGAATAATAAATTTGTTCACTTCTAAGGAAAATGAAAGTGGAAGCCAAAAAAGGATACAGAGGAAAAACCCAATTTGTACAAGTCGAAAAGAGATTTATAATGAGTGTCTGATAACAGAAGCTGAAAGGCAACAGGGTACACAAAGGCATACCTTAACTGTTTTAGCAGAACCTCGTATTTTTCCCCCATGAAACAGCCTCATCAGGACGGGCTCCAGAATCGCTTCCATCAAACTCTTGTGCAGTATTTATGTAAATAGCATAATCAGCACCATTTTGCATCATATTAGCATTGCATATATGATGCTTTGGCAGTCCACCTACTAGAATTATCATTCCTGTTGTCCTGGGACTTGCATGGACAGCTTCACTATTCATGGCCCTAATATCTGTCAAAGGGTAACCTAGTTAGAAATTTCTATCACAATCCGCAAGCAGTCAGTAATCAGCAAGCAACGAAGATGAAACTAGAAAATCGACCTTGCACTGCATCAATTATCAGACCTGGACTGCGAAAGGAATGAAAATACAACATATCCCCCAAAGAGCCATCTGTTAAGCCTGGACAGAAGACAGGAATCTTGTTCTGGAAAATACAAATAAATGATAAAAGTGAGCTATGCTGTCAAAAGGGGAAAAGATGAATGTTACTAACATTATGCTGACAAGTCCTTATAGACTACCATTGCATAAAGCAAAATTACAAAACCCAGAGGCTGAAACTTAATAAAAATGATATGAAATGCATGTTCTATAATGTTCCAGTTGCTTGAGAATTCTTTTTTTTTTTTTATCTCTTTGGCCAAAGTTTCTTGAGAATTCATTACTGAGTATTCATTAACGAAGCCTTCTTCAGTAACAAATATATCCAATCACTTGTTCAAGATAATCTCATGATATTAGTTGGCAAGACTCATATCTTACAGCATTGTGGTATAAAGGATAAAGTAAGGTAGTCAAGCAGTAACGGAATATCTTCACAGCTATAATGCAATATTTCATAATAGATTAAACAACTACAACTTTATTTGTATCATATACATCCTCATGGAAGCATAGTAAATGAATGACATTTATTACAGATGGTCATTGATAACAACACAAAAGTCAAGTGTAGATCTGACCATTTTGATCAACTAGCAAAAGAGAATGCCAAAAGGTAGTTATATTCTCGTACCATTAAGCTAAATTGGTAGGACACTTGCCTTGTATGCCTAGTAGAGGTATGAACTTTCACTATTTATTTCTTTACCCAAGCGTGCAATTAACTTTGATGGAGTCCACAACAAATTCTGTGAAAACCAAAAACAAGAGGTACGATGAAATTAACAGAATGGCAGACACCATTAAACACAAGAGATACATCTACTATGGTAATTGAAATCAATGGAATGGAGTATAAATACAAGCTGAATTATTCTATCATTCACAATAACTTAGACTCAAGAGATTAATAATCTTTTCAATATTTACAGAAAACTAAAAGGTCCTAAATCCAATGAGACAATTTGGAGGTCAAATTTGTCCTACTAACACAAGTGTATGAAATACTCTGCATGCTTGCGTATGGAAGTACCTCTTCAATTTGCTCCCTCAACATTTTATCAAAAATTGGAATGATCCAATCCTCAAATTTGCAGTAGTTATCATTAGGAACCAGCAAGTTACCAATGCAATTCAATCCTCTTGATCGTAACTGAGCACTAGGTAGTGAAAAATCACCTTTATATGTTGGCGCAAGGCACTTTATAAGATCTTCTTCTATGCCACCAGTTGTAGTAACTATAACATCAACCTAAAGTCATTTTAAAAATAACAGTTCTTAGATGGAGAGTAAGGCTAAATCAAGAACCCGATGACAGATTTTGAAATCCTTCCAAAATATTAAAAAAAAAATTTGAAACCAATGAATAATAATTTCCAGCCTTTTAATTTTTTTCAGATTCCGTTTCCGATTTTTCTTCTTTTTCTCCTTCGTAGATTTCATGTGCGGGCAAAATTCAGCAGATTATAAGCAGTCTGCTGCATTTTTTCTCATTACATTTTGTATTTCATCCCAATTCTACACAAAAGGTCTGATTTTCAGGTCTGACTTGTAACTTAGCATGTGATGCTCAGTAAGATAACAAACAGTATCTCGAACACCAGATGAAATAAGATTTGATGTAAAACCCAAAAAGACCTTGCATCTGACAGATTCTCTGTAGGCAGGATCCTTCTCCTCCTCACTGCAGTCCTTAGTTATAGTCTCATTAGAAAGCCTCCAGTCTAACTTCAATTTGATCGAGAATATACTTTTACGAATTAAGTTAGCAAAATTGGATAGCAGAAAAAGAAAAATAGACATAGCATCCAAAACACTAGGACAAAAAAGAAATCTAAATAAATGAAACCAACCATCTCGTTGGCAATTTCCATAGCTTCTCCAAGATTGGAAGCCTGAAATCCAGTGGAAAACATGGATTTGAGAAGCTTGGAGTAGTTTATGCCCTGATTGAAGTCATAACCCTCAATTTTTGCACACTTCCCTTCAAGGGAATCCGATTCTTTGAAAACTGTGGAATGTACAGAGTTCGTAAGCTTATCCTCCGTGATCTCCTTTTGTAAAACTGCCACCGAAATAAAGAGGAAAATTGATGGAGCTTAATTAGTTTGGGCTGATTTTGATTAAAGGAAAACAAAGAAAATGGCAGTGTTGGGTATTAAAGTTTTTTTTTTCTTTTTTTATGTCGGATACTTTTTAATCATTACAAAAAAAAAAAAAATTCAAGTGGTAAGCTTATAGATGTATTCGAGTTAAGTCGAATTGATATAGTGAAAAGCTCAAGCTCAACTTGAAATTTGTTATTCAAAATTCAACTTAAGCTCACTTGAGCTTTAATTTTTAAGCTTGAGCTCGACTCAAGAAAAAAATTAAACTACTCAAACTCATTCGATTAGGCTCGTTTAATAAAAAATGAGCTTAATTTTCGTGCTCGATTTCAAGTTCGATTATATGTTCAAAATCAAACCCAGATTTAAATTGATATATATGAGTAAAATAACAATTTTTTAATTAAAATAATAAGTTCACAAGCTATTCAAGCCGAACATTAAAATGTTTGAACTTGACTCGTTTAATAAATCGAATTACTTAAGCTCAAACTTAGACTAATCTAAATAATGATCAAACTGAATTCAAATTTTATTTCAGCCAAACCCAAATAAATTACGAACATTAATTAATTATTTATACCCCAGGTAAGTTTAAGCTTCCAATGTGAAAAACCATCCAAACGAGTAGCTTTATTACTTAAGATGCAGAGACAAGCGGCAACAGCACTGCACTGATAGATTACCGTACACACCAATGACAAGATTGCTTATTGCATCAAAAACACTAAATTGCTAACCTAATTAACTCCTATTCTTCACATCCCAAATATTCATCAATACAGCTCACAAAAAATGAGACTAATTTATTAAAACAAAAAAAAAAAATTGTTGCGAAAAGAAGGTCATTATCTTATGAAATCCAACCATTTACAAAAATAGCTTAGAGTTATAAATAAAAAAGAATGGATTTTATCACGTGATAAAATCAAAACAGCAATGAAAATAGCTTAGAAAATTGAAAGTAATTTTTAAATTGCAAGAAATGTAGATATACAAAATGAGAGAGTCAAACCGGGTCAAACAGCTTGGGGCAGCCTTCCCTTGTTTAGGAGGCAAGGAGGGTGGGGGGTGGAGATCGGGCCGACGGAGAGTTGAGAGGATTCTTGCTGGTTATCTTTTATGTCCTTTTCGGTTATTAAAAGAGGAATTGGGAAATGGTCTTTGATTTATTCCGGTACTCTCTATTTTTTTTGTAAAAAACAAATTTTTTTTAAATAAATTATGAAATTTTTCAAATCAAAATAAAATATCTATAATTTAAAATAAATAATTATAAGTTATGAATTTGAGATGATTCCAATAAGTAATTACGATAACATTTAAATTTAAGATTTTTTTATCCAAAAAAAAAAATTTTAATCAATTTAATTAATCACTTGTTAATAATCTAATACTTTTAAAAAGTTTTTTAAAAATTTTGTAAGCGAAATTGTAATTTTTTTAAAAATAATCTAATAAAACTTTTAATAAAGAATTTTAAATTGATAAAGTGATGGGATTTAAAGTAAAGATGAATAATATATAAAAGACACATTCTATTT